CTTTGAACAGGTGCATGAAGTCTGCAAATTGGTATTGAAAATTATGGTTTTCACACTGAAAGAATATTTTGTGTTAATAGTTTTGGGTGTTTCATATTCTCACATATGAAACAAAGTTACGAATGTTGACTTGCAATACAGGATAAGAAGTTTATAGGTAACACGCTCTATAGATAATGTAGTTGAAAGGATATAGTTTGTTTGTAAAGGAATGATACATAGCAGAAGGTGCATGGTACACGCATACTTTCACTAATTCCATGGCAACAGTGCATTAGCATTGACCTCAAGGTCAGACTAGCTCTGCTGCCTATCTACTTGACCACATTCCCTACATGCATTAGTTCAACAAGCCGACCATGTTTGTGGAAGATCAAGGTACAGTTAGCTGATTAGAAGAACAATGAGACAAAGTGCTCTTTGAGTTCCATGATCCCTTGGTTAATAACGTCTGACCCCAGATCAGACCTTAGTCTGTTGCACAACTCTGCTCCTGATGGTTGAGGGGAGAGTGTGAAATAAAGCCTGGCTTCAAGGCTGTATTGAATGTCAAATCCTTGGATGTACAGTAATTCTATCCTTATGATAAGCAAGATAAGAAACAGTAAGGACAAAGTCTTTGTGGTGAAAATTGATTCTTATTTGTATTGTCGAGAAACTGTGACTTTAAGCTGTTAATAATTTCCTCAGAAACCTGTGCAAGTCCGTGTCTAAGATCTATTATTGGCTTGCTTGATTAGCTTCTCTGGTAGTAGCAGAAAATTGCAGCTTCAGGTCTTTTCGGAGTCACAGGTCATTCATCATAGTTGCCAGTAGAAGTTAGACTAATATGAATGAATATAATTATATATATGTAATATGTAATATTTTGAAGAGAGTTTTTATGGATATGAACTTCTTTATTAAGAAGAACACAACGTTTTTGAGTATATACTTACTCCTTCATTCACCTGATAAAGGAATAAGGATATACTCTGAAACATTGTGTCCCTTGTAATAAAGAAGTTGATATCCATAAAAACTCTTATCATTTCTAAATGCCATTCAAAGACCTGTAATATTTTGATTAAGCAAATAATTCCATTTAAACTGAAAAGGAGCCCCCCGTGATATTCAAGAAGAAAATCCAGACATATCTTTTAGGGCTTTCGCTTGGCAGTAAGGGATTTGCAAAAGGAAAAATAAAGTAGTTGAGGACTGTGAGACAGAAGTGGAAGCAGTGAGTGATGCTTCATGCAGCAGTCAATATTCCAGGGGGTCACAGCTGCATGGAAGTCTGGATGAAGCAATGGTTGACTGAGCAATGACCCAAGCTGTGTATGATGAAACACAATTAGCAGGGTCCCCTCACCACCAGCAGGTCCTGGTTAATGATAACAGGCTCCTGTTACAACCAGCAGCTCTAGCCATGTGCCTCAGATGGGTATGCAGGCAGTGATTTGGTCCAGTGGCCTAAACATACCAACAGATGCTGAAATATGGTATTAGAGCATGAGTGAGTTAGGTTTTATGTCGCTGTAGCCATATGCCTCAGATGGTGTACCCACAGAGCAGAAAGGTAGTGGTTTGGTCCATTGGCCTTAACATACCAACAGATGCTGAAAGATGGTACTAGAGTATGAGTGAATTAGGTATTATGCTGCTGCAGCCATATGCCTCAGATGGTGTACCCACGGAGCGGAAAGGTAGTGGGTTGGTCCATTGGCCTTAACATACCAACAGATGCTAAAAGATGGTACTGGAGTATATAGGTCTTATGCTGCTTACCAATATTCCAACAGTTTCACAGCAGGGGAAATGGGCTTTACACATTGTACATATGCAAGGAATCGAATCTGAGCCCTCGGCAAAACTAGTTCTCACCACCATGTTACCCCACTGCCCCAGCCAGGGTTTAGGGATATAGAACAGCATGTGTTGGAATCGGACTGGTTTAATGGGTGTCCATGCCAGCATGGTATGTCAGTGGGTTAGCACTATGAATCCAATATTCGTCCGATCTAGTACAGGCAGCCAAGCACAAATGTATTCATGTCAATGAATATGAATATGTGGAACAATCTTAACACGGCCATCAACCCCATTCTACCTGACCGCACCTTTAAAGGTGTGTTTTGAAGTAGTGATAGAATATAATATCTGGATGGGTACATGATGAATATAAATGACAAAGTCAGTAGAGAGAACAGAATGGAAATAAATGAAAGGAAATATGTTTTATGACTGGACATTCTTATTGTAATATAAAAATTGTATAGTAATGACTACTAATTCATTTTCTATACCAATCAAAAATGTTCATATGTAAAAGAAAATTATGTGCCTGTATATTTTTAAGTGATTTGAAAAATTCAGTTTTAGTTAAACAATGTCTGGTTTATAAGAAAGAAAAAAATATTGAGCCATTGTTTTAGCGACATTACAGGTTACTGGCAATATTACGCGGGGAAACAGCTAGAAAACACGAGGGCCAGACGACATTGTGTGGGAAGCTATTGATGGATTCATTCACTTGCCGTTGCTGTGGTCACAGACGTGAACGTGATTCATACACAGTGGGGAATTTCCACTCAAATTTAGCACGGGCGAGTTCATTACCATGGAGGGGGGGATAGGTTATTATTTTTTATGTGTGTTTAAGCAGGAACAAGGGAAGAAGGGTTCACAGGGTTGAGTCCACTTCCGATTTGTTAGAGGCTGAAAACACGACTTGCATTGTGGTGGTATTTGTGGAGATAAAATGTTATTGATTTTTAGATAAACAGCTGCTTGCACTTGAAATGGGTCTGGTTGTTGCAATGCATATTTCGTTGAAATTATTTGCAGCATATTGTTATGCTTGTTTTTATTCGGATAACTTGAGTTATGTAATATACAAAATAATAAATAAATTATGTAATGTGTGAATATCATTATTTATTGAAAAAAAAATATTCTGATTTTTTTAATTTGTTAATTGCAAATGTTTTTATTCGGATAACTTGAGTTATGTAATATACAAAATAATAAATAAATTATGTAATGTGTGAATATCATTATTGAAAAAAAAATATTCTGATTTTTTTTATTTGTTAATTGCTAATGTTTTATTCGGATAACTTGTATGGAAGGAAAAAAAATTCTTATTTTTTTTATTTGTTAATTGCTAATGTTGTATGGAAGGAAATTCTTATGGTTGTTTTGCATGTTTATTTATAAGTTACATGTCTTTCATCTGTAAACCGTGAAATTGTTTTATAAAAAATGGTTTGAAAGAGAGGTCAATCAAAGAGATGTGAAGATAAATATTAGTTTTTATGTGTGTGAAGCAAACAAAAAAAGATGACCAAAAACAAAATATATGGGAAAATGACCAGAATCTTCACTAAACATGCACACTAAAAACTACATGATTTGATATAAGAAATCACAGTGGGTTTTTTTCCTAGTCGAGACATGACAGAAATGTGTTTTGGCTTCTGATTCAGGAATCAAAACGTTCAAGCAATTTCACCAGATATTATATAAAATAGGTATAGTTAGTTTGTTCAAATTTTATTTTGAAATTGCAAGTGCATTCTGGCTCCAACCATCTGCACCAACAACATGAGGTCATCATAATAGCTTTAATATTGAATATGTTTATCTTTGTCTTATTTAAACTTGCACTTGCTGCCCTATGTTTTTAAATATTTCACCACCATGTTTGCCTCAGTGTCCATAATCTGATACATGAATAGTGACAACACTGACAGGCTTACTGCTGATTTACGAGTTCAGTGAATGGAAAATACGAGTTCAGTGAATGGAAAATTACCATCGCTTTAAAGGAAGTTGGTAGAGGAAAACATGTTTTCCTTGTTGGTTTAACGGGAGATTGTGCACTAAATTGAAAACATATTTAGCTCACTTTACTGAACGCCAGTCTGCACTTATGTTGTTCTGTTTGTGATGTAATAAAATTTAGCTAAATTCGTTTGATTTTAGTGTTAGTGGTTATGGATAATATTTGAATATCAATGCTGACATTAACTTTTGTCTTTGTTTTAAACCACTGACTTCCAGGGGAGTTCTAGTAGTGTATGCTTATGATTTTAAATTTGAAAGGATATAAATTTAATTTGGGATTACTAATGAGACCCAGTTTCTGACACTGTCTCACTCTGTAATGGAAATTGTAACATTTTAAGTCCACTGAGCAAATATTTAAGGTAAAAACGTGTTTATGCAGTGCTGATGTTTGTTCGCCACCAGCAACATGTGACTGTCCTGCCAGTATTCTGTTTGACTAAATTATGAATATATTTTCATGGTCAAGTCAGTCTGTAACAGACATTTTAATGATATGTTTCTTCGACCTGCAACCAAAAGGAAGATATTTTAGAAGTGCTTCAATAGATCTGAAAAATACATTGACGGGATAACTGAATTTCCGTGATGTGAGAACATGTCAGTGAGTGAGTGAGTGAGTTTGATTTTACGCCGCTTTTAGCAATATTCCAGCAATATCACGGCAGGGGACACCAGAAATGGGCTTCACACATTTTGCCCATGTGGGGAATCGAACCCGGGTCTTCGGCGTGACGAGCGAACGCTTTAACCACTAGGCTACCCCACCGCCCCGAGAACATGTCAGATTCATGTTGGAAGAATGGCCAAAGTGATACATGTGTGGACAACGAAGGATCATTATACATTGTCTATGGGACTGAACCCAAAATCATTGATTCTGAAATGACCACAGAATGCATAAAACCTCAAAAATAGCAATGAAAAAATATCAGCATTATGCCAGTGACTTTACATAGTGATTTGACATACCAAAATATATATTTGAAAAATGGCCTATTTTCAGATTTTGATGTTTGCTGTTTTTTAAATTAAGCAATATGTTGGCAGTTCTGGATTAAGGTATTTATTTGTGAGGTTAGCTTGGCTCAAAAGAACATCACGCAAAATATTTGATAAATCTGTTTTATTTTGTTGACACAATTCATTGACATTTTGCACATTTGTTGCAGGTGTTGGTATCGGAATGGTGATCGTATCGGGCATCGTGTGCGTGTACTACAACGTGATCGTAGGATACACGGTGTACTACCTCTTCATGTCATTTCGAGCAACACTGCCATGGAGCAACTGTAACAACGAATGGAACACTGACAACTGTGTGGACAGCAAGAACTACGGCAACACCTCCACCATCAGGAACTACATCATCAACAACTGTCTCGATGGGAACACGACGCACGTGCCAAGTGAAGTATCTGGTCTTACCAACGACAACTCCACTGAGTATTACGTCCAACAGACGTTCTTCGGCGCCGGCAAATTGTGCTCCAACCAGAGCATCACTGACCTTATGGAAAGCCTGAACTCATCAGACAAGACCATGTCGGCCAGCGAACAGTTCTGGGAGTAAGACTGTTTTTCAGTCAAGTGTCATTTGTATCCTATAATATCATCCTTACTTAGCAGTTTAAGCATTCACTCATCATGTTGAAGGGTTCACTTCCGACATGGGTACAATGTGTGAAGCCCATTTCTGGTGTCCCCTGCTGTGATATTGCTGGAATATTGCTAAATGTGGCATGAAATTAAATTCACTTAACAGCAACACTGTATCCTGCTGTGTTGAAATCAGAAGAAGGTCAGCAGAAGTTATATGTGATGACATGACGCTTTTTATCGATAATTTCTCTATTGTTCATAACAACATTTCTGGGCGCCATCTTGTAAATTATGTACCTAGGGTCATTTTGTTACCCTTTGAGTCTTTTTCGTATTGTGCCTGATTTATATAAAATTATTTTTTGTTTTCAGGCACCATGTGTTGGAGATGACTGATGGTATCGAGGACATCGGGACCCTGAGGTGGCAGTTGTTGATCTCCCTCATTGTAGCCTGGCTGTGTGTCTTCTTCTGTCTCTTTAAGGGGGTCAAGGTCCTTGGAAAGGTCAGTAATAGTCTTAATTTGTTAGAACTTTGATACAGGAGAACTTGAAGCAGACTAAGTGTTACATAAAAGCGACATGAACCTTGCCATAAGAAATGTCTGAAATTCTGAACCAGTTTTTATTGCTAAATTTTGCTACAAATTAGAACTGAATAAAAGTGACAGAGAGAGAGAAAAAGCACCATAGGAAACAGGTGTTTTTTTCAAGTGGGACTAACTAGCTACCACTTGCAGGACTATGAAAAGGTTTGCACTAGTCCTCTGACAAGTTTTTGGAAAGAGGAATTTCTAAGGATAAATGTGATTTCATGTTCTATGACTTGGTTAACTTCCATTGTACCAGATATTGTTATCATTGCTCTTACTGTCAATCACAAGATTGTCTGGTTCAGTCATCTGACAAGCAGTAGGACATTTCATGAGAGCAGTTTTATGCACACAAAAACCCACTTTTGTATATATATGTAAAGATTCTTTTGTATTCAGTTATGCTTGTCACAATCTGTGGTTGAATTGTGTTGCCAGGTAATGCACTTCGCAGCTCCCTTCCCTTATCTGGTGTTGATGGTGTTGCTGATCCGAGGTGTGACGTTGCCAGGAGCGATGGAGGGTATCAAATACTACATCATTCCTCGGTTTGAGAAACTGGCCAACTTCCAGGTAAGACAATATCTCCGTGCCACAACATAGACTCCTGCAGACTAGATTATACATTCCTTGTATTAATGGCTGAGGTACTTTGAACATTTGAAAAGGAACATAGTGAAATCTCACCCATTTAAATTTGATGTCAGACATTAAGCTAGAGAAGACAAATGATGTTACTGAAACAGTTTTGATATTGACTTTAATTTGCCTCTTTTGTTTCCGGATACAGTATACATGTCTTGAATGATGTAATTGATGTTGTCGTGTGTGATCATCTTCACTTAAGTAACCGCATCATTGTTATGTTTTTCAGTCAAATCAGGTGTAAAAGCAAGAAACAGTAAAGTTTGAGATGTTAAACAAGACTTTACTCCCTATTTTGGCTGTTTCAGGTTTGGGGTGATGCAGCGTTGCAGATCTTCTACTCTGTCGGCATGGCGTGGGGCGGTATCATCACCATGGCCAGTTACAACAAGTTCAGCCACAACGTGTACAGGTAAGTCATAACTAGTGTATTATTCTCAGTATTATATCGCAATAACATGATATCTCAAAGATTATAGTTTGTTAGAAAAGGGGAGGTAATATAATGGATTGTATTTTTGCAAGAGTTATGCCCCCTGATGTGCAGCAACAACGTTCACAGTTTTCTTTAATCAATTTAAACCTGTACATTTGTAAGAAAATAACTGCATCCAGTTGTTTAACCATTTTTGTAAAATATGACATGTTTTACAAATAAAAACAATAATAAATGAATATGTTTAAAAATTGGATTGTTTAAGTTCCTGCTAAGGAAATATATTTTACAGCTCTCTGATCTACACTTCCCCTGAATGTATTACTAACTATTTCTGGTTTCAGGGATGCCATGATAGTTCCCCTGATCAACTGTGGCACAAGTATTTTTGCCGGTTTTGTGATCTTCTCTGTTCTTGGGTTTATGGCTCATGAAGCTGGCACAACCATGGAAAAGGTCGTAACACAGGGTAAGAACTCGATACAACCTTGAACTTTCAACCATTTGACATTTGCTCCACTGAAGTGTTCTTTATAATGTTAATACCATTACATAGATTATGTTGTTTGTAAGTGTAGGAATAAACCTTTTCTGTACTTCGAACTCTGGTAGTTATCCTTGACAGAGCAGAACTTATGTGACAGTTCAAGGTCAGATTCATTCCACAGTAACCCTCTCCTGTGTTTGAGGCAACTAAAATGTTGGTTAGCTGGTTAAAACATATCAGTTAGATGAATACAAACAGTGATTGTCAACCACTTGTTTGCCTTGTCATGTTTGAAAAACAACACTCAAAGACACTTTAGATAGATATAAGTGACAAAAGAATTGCAATATTTATCACTTCCAAAATACATCATATGTCTTATCAAAGCAAAGAATTTCCATGCTTCCTTTTAAACAAGTTTGACTGTTCAACCCATTGGTCCTGCTCTGTAAAGAGACCTTAGTGTTGAGGTGATAGTACTTCCATGCTTCAATGTTGGCTTTGATAGTCTTAGCGTGATGGATTTACAGAATGGATATGTATTCCTACCCAATAAATTCTATTCATTATGTTACGCTAAAAATATTGAGGGTCACCCATGTTAGATTAATATGAATGTGATAGAATCAGGTGAACCTTAACTTTATTTTAGTAGTATATGTGTCCAGAATGATTTATATGTTGTTGTTTTTTGTTGCCAGGTCCTGGTCTGACATTTGTTGCGTACCCTGAGGCCATTGCCAAACTGCCAATCTCTCCCTTGTGGGCAGTGCTATTCTTTCTTATGTTGTTTACCATTGGCTTGGACAGTCAGGTGACTATTTTCTACCATTTCATTGGCTCTTTTATTTCTGGAACCTTAGAAAAATCTGCTCAAACAACATTATCTGGTGTTTCAAGGAATATATTTAAAAAAGACCAACCTGTTTATAAGATGCATCATAATTGACCATCTGGCATGTATAGCAATGTGCAGCTGTCCGTGAAATCGGAACCCACCGTGTACCAGCAAACTGTACTGGCAGGAGTGACTGCTTCCGATTATGTTGGTTTGAATAGTTTGAGTGTGTTGCCATGGATATGGTTGTATTGGATTATGTTGGTTTGAATTGTGTTATGAAAGCGTTGCCATGGATATGGTTGTATCCGATGTTTTGCTGGTCACAGAGGTCACCTGACCTGGGTTCCTTTGTCATGGACACTGTTGACATGGATTATTCATCGGGATGGACGTGTGATGCTCTTGCTCTTAAAACAACAACAATTTCAGTAATTATGATTAAAACATTTTGGACTTTCGAGACATGACTGATATTTTAACATGTTCCAATTTTGTAAATTCGGTTATTTCTTCACAACTTGAATTTTACACTACATGGAAGTTTTGAGCTGTCACTTCGCAGAAAAAATTGTTATTACATTTTTGCCCAAAGTAAAGCATCCATCTTTGATTTTCAATTCGGATAATTTTCTCTCGAAAGCTGATGTTTGGCTGCATGGAGAATTTGTTGAGATAAACGTTTATCCTGCTGTTTTCATAAAACACTAAAACAAACTAATTTTGTTCCTATTAAATCAGTTTCTTGTTTTCTCCACATTTCTCCTCGATGTCATGTTCTAAAATTAACTGAGATGTTTCTCTAAGTGCACTTGGGATAATTTTGTGATTTGGGAAATATGTGAAAATTCATGTGTTCAAAAAAGAAATATGAAAAAAAACGAAAAATAATTTTCTATAATTGAGATAATTTGAAAGACAATCAGTTTCATTTGTATTTCTATTGTTGAACTTCAAAATATTTCGGCATTTTTTACAAAAGCCTCATTACATTTATTAAAAAATCATTTTGAATGCAAATTTGAATTTCACTTCCCTCTAAATCCTGAGCAGATTCTTCTGGTTCAATATGTTGAGTCAGTGGTTACTAGTTTAGAGGTTGACTTTCTTAATTAATGTTTCTTAAATGGCAATAACCTCAAATATTTCCAAATTAAGAGTTTTCTTGAAAATAATTTTCCAAATTCATCATATCTATTTACAATACTCTTGAAAGATGTAATGCAGTTTAATAAAATGTTTAAAGAATTTTGACATGCATCCAAATTTATTTTGTAATTCTGAACCACTGACTGTTTAACTTGTCATTCAGATGTACCTAATCTTTATATAAAGGAGTCTTTTTTCAGGTTTGTAGTATTCAATGAAGTTTTACTGTCACCCCTTGCAAGTAAAGGTTTGAAAAACTTTTCAACATGGTACCAAAAACCATTTTAACAAACACAAGAATTTGACATTGGTACATGCGTCCAGTTTCATTTCAATTTTCTCAAGACATGGAATATTTTTCGAAGACAGCAAAGAAAGAATATTAATGTTGAAACAAATTCAAAATTTATTCAAATTGATTTTATTTTGCTCTTCAAAGAAAAAAATGTTTTCAGGTTTTTTAGCTTCAGTACTTTTTTTCAATTTCGATTTAAAAGTTGTGTCTTCAGAAAAATATTCCCTTCATAATTAGACAACTGATGGACATAAATGCCTGCTGTTTCAAAAATTCATAATTGTTAAATTTAAAAGAAAACCTGTCAATATTTCTGTAAGTGTTTCTATTTTGAGACTATGAATTTGTCAGAATTTCTGTACTTTGAATATCTATCTGAAAAAAGTGGAACTGAAATGTTTTTCTATTTTCTTTTAAAGAAAGCAGGCAACAAACCAAATTTGAAAAATCTGAAATGGCACTTGCAAAAACTTCATTTTTCATGTGGACTATTGGAATTGGTGAAAAGTAAGCTTCTTTCCAAAGATACAAGTTAAAAAGTTTCTTTAAAAATCCAGTTAAATTCTTTTTGAAAAAAAATGGTTTAATAAACAGTTTAACTGTTGCAATTATGTAATGATTTTAGGATATGACTTTATCTTTGGAAAGATGTTGTGCTTTTTTGTAATTATGGAGGCTCTGATATTACACAGACAATGGACATTAAGTTATTGCAGTGTGAGCGTGCACTTGATGCGCATTGATGGGTAAGACTAATATGTTTGTGAATTTTGTATGTTTAATATCTTTTCTTTTCTGTGTGGGAACTGGGGAAATACATTAAAGTTTCATGGGGGAATACTGTTAGTGGACTATGAGGTTAATGAAAAATTGGGATTATGTAAATTAGCTTGTTACCTGAGAAGGTATTAATTGCTACAATTTTCTTTTATTAAATTCATTTTGAAATTTATAGATTAGTGGTGATATTTGATTATCTAATTGTGTGGATGGATTTATGAGAAATATTTTGGGATAAAGCATTTTTGAAAGAAACATATATTTTATATTCTAAATCTTTCAAAATTTTGAAATGTTTTACTGATAAATGGGGATGCAGAGAAAACTTTAAAGATAGAGATGTGGAAAAAGAAAATATATGTGTAATCGTGTGGATGGGGAAATGTTTGTGTGTTATGTTACAAACAAAAGTGGGAAGAGGATTTGACAGATGGAATAAAAATATTTTGCAATGGTGTGGGAGGGGTAATTAAAAAACAAGGCATAAAAACCAAAAGTGGGGGACGATGGGAAGGGCAACATAAAGCATATTGCAGTGTGTGCAATATGTTTTGAAACCAGTGTGATGTTCATGTGCTTAGTGATTATTGTGACACATTTGCGACTGATATATGATGCATAATCATATCTCATCATTCCAGTACATGGATTCAAGAGGTTTACTGAACATAACTTAACATTAAAAACTCATGCCGTTAATTAAACACAGTAATGCAGGAGGAGGGGAGCCCTAGAACTTATCGTCATCGTAACCCCAGAATCTAACAAATAGTCTAGCTGCAATATTTTTCAGATGTGCATGCAGTGGTACTGTCGCCAGGCTAATACCATTCTCTCTACACAATATCACCTTTCTGCTCTTTGCTTTTTTTTCCGCTTCTTCCTTAACTTGTGTAGATACTAACCATGAATGCCGCCAGGGTGGAATGGCTTTCATTTGGCAGTATGTGGCTTTAGATTGACTCTACACAGCTTCACTTATCATGTCAGCTTCAGCACTGAATAGGATGCGTGCCTTGACTAGAGGGAGATAACTGTGCTGCATTTGCCAAAGGGAGATCACTCCCATGTATTCTAATATGGCTTTTGATTTGACTTATACCAGGATATGGAATATATAAGCATTCTTCTTGCTTTATTTCATTTTGTCATACCATCGTTCATTTATATCAAAGACTTACAAAATGCTGTACATGCCTCGAACGGAACAATCATCCAAACAATCCATTGACAAGTTATTTCTTTTTTGAAAATATTCTTTGTTGACATAAACCCAAACTCTGGTTGTTACAATCATCTGAAACCCATTTCAACAAACAAATTATTGTGCTTTGTGAATTGAAGTAGAATACAAACTTCAAAAACAAATTTCCCAATAATATTTTCTATATGATTTACTCTGGTATTTTAGAACATGCCAAGAGAGCAAACATTCAAAAGTATTTCTGGAAAAAAGAGACCAAAAAAAAAAGATTCAAAACATGCATGGTAGTGGGTGCACTCGACTCCCCCAGCACTTAACGGAAATTGATAGATTCTATTTTCTTGACATTCGAAGCTATACTTAATGTTGTATAAGTAGAGCCTTAATCTCTCGCTTTGTAGAGCATGACATAAGACAAGACACTCAAAACAAGAAATAATCATGATAAGCGGAATCAGCATGATGTCTTTTAGGTGGATTTCTCACTGCTCTTGACTATTTCACTACATGATGCCAAGTCATGCGAGATGAAAATACAAAATGATGATTTCAAACTTCAGTTAGGTCTGTAGATAGTGATTGAGAATTTAATGCTGTTTTAACCGTGTTCCAGTTTTATGACAGTTAATGTGCAAGGAAAAGCTGTACAGGCGACACTTTTGAGGATGAGCTAATTTTGAAAACATTTCATATCTTTAAGACCTTGTTCTTCTTTTGAAAATAGCACTGTTTGCTGTAAATCAGATGGATTTACATGCTAAACAAAATTGATTTTTAAAAAAATGTATTCATGAATAAGATGGCAAAACATCTTCAAATATGAACTGTCATATCAGAATCATGTTTACCATTTATATACATGGAATATCATTGACAAAATTGTCAAGAGAGAATCTTCTTGTTTTGAGTGTACTTTCGAACTAAACTTGAGTTGTTGTCATTCTTTTGTTTTGTTGCATTTTTTTTTGTGCTGGCTTTAAATTTTAGTTCTGTCGACCCCTACAGCAAGGTGATAGAGAAGTGGTTGGCATAGTAGCTTAGCTGTAGCTTTACCCCAGGGACAGAAGAGTAGGGGGGGTATGGCACTGTGCTTCACTCTGGGGTTGCATGAGGATTAATATTGATAGTTGTATCATCAGTAGTATGACTAACAGTTGTGGAAACAGTTTGTTGAAAATATTTGGCGTCCTGATCACCCCTGAAGTGTTAAATCCAATCAACCATTTTGAGGAAATTAATGAATTTTAATCATTTAATAAATTTTGAATAAATGATTTTAGCAAATAGAATTGAAGAAGCTGATATGCTATTAAAATAGGATATGGTGAAAAGGTTTTGCAAAGTTTCATGGAAAATAGTTTACTGGAATATTAAGTTTGAAAACTTTTTGTTCTGAGTAAGAAATTCCACATCTAAGGACTATATGCACACTGTGAAGATGTATACTGACAATGAAAATGTTCATCCAACTCAACTCTTAATCAGATAGGTTTTGTGCTCAATGATCTCTCCGAACATAAAAGAGATTTGAACTAGGATGACGACATTGTTTGATGATCTGATACCTGAGTACCCAGAATTACTAAATATGACTTTTGTGGCCAATTTCTCAAATATTACATAGCGCCAAAAAAAGCATATTTAAAGTGCCTCAAGAGAAATGCTTTTCTTCTACAAACAAATTTAGAAATGATATATATTCTGACAGTAAGTTCATGCCATACATAAAAAGTTAAAACAGTTTTCCTCGCCCATACATGGTGCAAATACTGTAGTTCTTCAGTTAAGACTCAAACTTGATAAATCCTCAGCTGTAGAGCTTACCCCCTGGATGCCACAGGGACATAGATGCCCTTCCTCATTAACCTTCACCTTGAAGTCATAGAAAATTTGAAGTATATCATGCCCACAATTTGAGTTCTCAGGTAGGAATTCATCAGGAGATCTTACGATATCATCTGTTTTCAGTTTAATAAAGCAAATTTGCAACCTCGCCAAATTATGTAGCTAAAACATCGCCTCCATTTTTGACATATTGCAAAATCACCAATCACACCATTATGTGGTAGATTCATACAAAATCTATAAATCGGTTATTTATTGTGATAATATAGTTATATAATGTGTAGTTACAGAATGTGAGTGATCAGGTATCTGTGATGTATCAAGTCATCATTGTACATTCTGAAATGATGTAACTCTAGAATTATTCAAAATGTTTCAGAAAATATGTTGCGACGAATACTGAAGTCAAATTTCATCATTTTTACAAAACATGTATGCTAGTTATCGGACACCTATGACCAGTGTAGGAAAGATGTAGAAAATCTAGCCTGTCCACAGGACTGGCAGGTCAAATTTTTTACTAGTCCTGCCAAAATCTAGCCTGTCCTCCAAATATAAATAAAACACCTTCGGCAGTAAATATTCAAAAAGGTTATAATTATTATATATATGTCATTGGTTTGCTAAAATTGACCCTCCTCAAAATTCACCCGTCTCGGACGTTGGGACGGGCTATCTTTCCTACACTGCTATGACATCACCTATATTTAGAAGTCGGCTGAGATTCATATGTCCGTGAATTCTCCATACAATTTAGAATCAATACAAATTGAGATAAAATTGGGTGGAATAAATTGGGTGCAAAGATGAATGTTGTCCTTGGATAACTGTACTTGTAAGAAATGTTAAACATTGTGAACCTCAGACCTTAACTGTCTAGTGTTTCCTAGTATCTCGAGAGAACCCTTCCTCTATTGTCACAAACATGAACTTTAGGATTTGTTGGTTTTTTTCATTGGGAGAGTATCAAAGCAAGAATTAGGGAATGAATAATAGATGCAATTTGACGGTTTTCCTTCAGTACTATTTCAGATATTTTCTTATACATTTGAAAAATAACTCGGCATCCAGTGGGTTAAGCATGACAATCTAAAGATGGAAAACAAATTAAACTGTTGCATTAAATGTCAGGAAAAAAGATAACAAAATATGTAGTTCTTGGAATCAAATAATATTTAGAAGCAATCAGCAAACAATGAAAAGCAATATGAAAAATGTTTAAAAAAGCGTGAAAAATGTAATAAAAAATACTGACATTCACTTAATACAGGGAAAAAACACACTTATGATCTTCAAGATGAGAACCGACTTCAAACAAACATCTGAATTCTCATGAATTCTTAAAAGAAAACTCGTTGCAAAGGTATCTTAGAAAGTAGAATTTCTACTGGCAGTGTTGGTAAGCTGCATTTTCGTTAAAATGTTCTCCTCTGTTCTCTCAGCAAGGTCACGGTGGGAGGTCAAGGCCGGGTCAGGGCGCCGGACCGGTCTTCAACAACACGAGGCCACCAGTCTGCTAGGTTTTGTTGACACGTTATGAACTAGACAACAGTCTATCTTGTGTTTTCTGTTTTCACAGTACAGATTACATCAACTTGTACCAGGGGAGGTCTCTTCAGGATTCAAGTAAACATTGCATTTATTTTTCAGTTATTGATACATTAAAATTTTAAATTCAAAGTAGTAGTGTTTGATTTTAGGTATAATTGTTTATTATCTTTGTAAGATTTATTTTTTACCTTTCCACAATATGATTCAAATTGTGAATTTTTTTATAATTATTTTGAAAAATTATGATTTGACAAATTATGTTTCGGTTAATATTCTAAATAATTTGTTTCATCGAGCTGATTTTTTCTTATCCATACTACATAAATGTTTTCATTTATTTTCAAATGACAATCAGTTTGAAGAACAACACATTAATTTGCAAGAGCTCCCCTGGTACATCAAGCTTCATCTCAACTTTGCTTTCAAAACATTTTTGTGTGACTTGTGAAAGTTTTACACCACAAAACACACATCTCAGCATTCATGAGTAGCCAAGAGGAACGGAACTCAAATGTTTGATATTGGTGCTGTAAATGACTCACAAATACTAGGTAATAATGTAAACAAGTAAACGTTTACATCCAGAGTGAAAAGTGCTTTGACCTTTGACGTTTTTATTTCTTGTGTGACATTTTCTGAAAGTGTCTGATATCCAATGTTTGAGTTCTGTGTTTATGAACAAAAACCAACATTGTTATATATGTTTATGACACAAGAAAACAAACTACTGTATTAGCAAAATTCCAAAGTTTCAAATGTAATTTAAATTTTAAATAATACTCATATCATGAAAACATCTATTTATGGAGTTCATCATTTTGGGATACAGATGACACAAAAAATATTACTGTACATAAAAATGCCATTTTGGACGACTTTAAGGCTTTTTTTTTTAAATGTGCACAATTTATATAGAATTAATGCAGGTTTGCAAAATTAAAAGCTTTGGAATTGGAGACTAATACACAATAAAATACAGGATCACCCTTCATTGTCTACTTAGATAACCATAGCATTGTTTCACTATTGGTTGTCATGGAAACCCTTTGAACATTTCTTGGTGTTTTGAAAATATAAACGCTCACATTATCAAAGATCACAACTATAACAGCATAGCAAGAAAATGGTTGATGATTATATTTCTGATCAGCACTTCCTAAACTCATGCACTGTAATCAATTACCATCGCATCGCAAAGGATCTTGTTCTGAGCTTTTATATTTGACAAGGCAAGAAATGTTCCATTATATGCCCTTTATTGTAGACCCATGTAAATGTTCGATCAGAATGGTTTGTATCAATAACCATGCAGACCAGCCTGATGAAGGTTTACAGGTAGATGACATAAAGCATTTATGTGCTTTAGACCAATAATTGATGTATGACATATAGTTTCTATTGTGAGCCACATGCTGTGCATGCATTCCCTTCCCCCCTTGCTCTGTGAGACTGATCAATGTATGCCCCCTATGTAATCTGGGACACTCCTTGAAGTACTTTTTGTTTTCTTTTATTAGTTTGGAATGTTTGAGACTATGCTGAGCGGAGTTATTGACGAGTATCCCAAATACCTGAGGAACAAGAAAGTCCTGGTGACAGCGGCTTGCTGCTTCTTCGAGTTCATTATCGGGCTGCCCTTGATTACACAGGTGAGTACTGTTTTCAGTTTTGCAGTATTATTCACATATGTGAAGAGTTGATAGTTTGTAAACATATATTTATCTACGCCTGCAAAGACGCCAATATTCTGCAGCAAACGGTCGTAAATATTCCCAGTTTAACAGAATTTACGAAATTAGAACATGAAATAATCCAATTTTGGACCATATCACCATATTTTTGCTGTTCCCTAACTAAAGGCCCTTAGTTTGAAATCCTATATAAGTGCCTGATTAATGGATGTTATGGAAGTGAATAAAGTATCATCAGGATGCAAACCAAAGGGAAGTAACTCTAATATAAAGATGTGATGCTATTCAATCAACACGTAGCATATTACTGTTGGTTGTGAACGTTAACTGCAGTAACATGAAAGAATGATGTTATAACTTTCTTTGAGTTTGTTATAAACAAAGAGATCTTAGTTATAAACAATTTCAAACTGTTTTATTGTATTTGATTAATTTAGCACTACTTTTGTTATGTTGAATGTTTCAAATTTGTGATGTTTGTTCCAGGGAGGTATCTACATCCTGCAGATCATGGACTGGTACTGTGCCAGCTTCTCTCTCATGCTGATTTCCCTTACTGAGTGTCTGGCTATCTCCTGGTGTTACGGTGAGTCTCGTGTTTGTATCAGGGGGTTGAGTCTTCCCACAGATGACATCCTTACCTTACCTGCTTGCTGATGGGGATTAACCTCTTTGGTGTCTGACTTTGGATCAGAAGGTCCATGTTTCGAAATCCCTGTTAGTAAGAATCATTCCAGCGCTAAGATCTCTTTGTGGTTAGCTCAACGACAAATCATAAGACTATGTTAAAGTATGGAAGTCACAATCATCTTAGCACTTATATCTCTTTGTAGCCTAGTGGCCAGATAGTATGTGAGAAGATGGCAATCTGAGCTTGAAAAGTTGGTTAATGATGTATGTGATCTACAGTCAATGTATATATATACATGTTTATATATTGCAGGTACGGATCGGTTCTGCAAGGACATCGAGTTGATGATTGGTTACCAGCCCCATAAATGGTGGAAATACATGTGGAAATTTGTAACCCCAACTGTTATTGTTGTGAGTCTCTTACCTGTATTTGAACTATCCATTATTGTTTTGAACATAATACAGGATGCCTATAACAATATGATCGAGAAATCTATACCAAAAATATAATTGGGTTGGAAACATATTGAAAATTCTTTACATTAAATTCCTTATTGGTTACCCAGTAAAAAAACCCGGGTTAATATAACAGTGCAAAACATCAGATGCATCAATATATTGCACACATCACTAGATCACCGCCAACATTCCTCTTGCAGTTCATCTGGTTGTTCAGCGTGATCACTCTGGGTCCTGTGACGTACGGAGACAAGGCTTATCCCCATTGGGCCATCATCATCGGCTGGTCACTAGGAGTGATATCAGTACTTCCTATCCCGATTGTGATGGTGATTCAGTTGTACAATACAGAAGGAACGCTACTGGAAGTGAGTGTTCTGGTTACAAGAATTTACTCGCTATGTCAGCAGCCAAACTTCATATTGCAGTTTGTCATTTAAATTTAGAAACTAATGAAGCAGTTGTGAGTGGTGTTTCTGACCATCTTGCCATCATTATTGCTGATAAAAGACAACATGCGTACATAGTTAGCCAGATATGTCCGTCAGAGTTGATCTATAGTGTGCTTAAATTACACCTTCATCATTTACCAATTTCAGAGATTCCAGAAGCTTACCAAGCCTGCTCCAGAATGGGGTCCAGCATTGACAGAAAATCGTCTGCGATACTACGAATCATTGGGTCTTGATGACCCATTATCAGTTCAATCTGTACTCCCCTCTAACGAAGTCAGTCATGACGACAAGTCACCGGAACACATGCCAGAACAGTTCGCGTTATTGCCGCAGAGTGAAAAAGCATAGTGTTGTCTCGAATGCTTTGGTACTGATGGGCACAAACGTTATGGGAATGAGAAATGTTACCATGGCAACCTGTTGTATTTTGTCGGTAAGACAGTATGAGGAAAAAATGCTATCTCACTGGCGAAATTGACTACGAAAACTGATGTGGCGCCAAACCATATTTGTGAAGAATTCCCCACTTGCATCGACACTGTTTGTACATAGACCCTGGGTATATATTGTTATAAACATCCCAGAATGGAGTGGGGTTCCTGTTGCAGTACCGATGTTGAGGGTGTGAGCTGTAACTGGTGCCGCTTCCCCCAAACAGGAGGGGGATTTAGTGTTGTGTGGACATGTATGTTCTCAGCAGTGTGTGAGTTGTATCATTTGGCCAAATTAATTTCTTATTGTCTTAAAGACAGTTCAATTACTATAATTTACAAGAATTCTGAAGAATGCTATTTGAAAGGACTCACAAGTGTTTTCCATGGACCATTACATAATATGTACATAACATGAACACTTCTTGCTCTAATTACATGCAATTGCTTTTTACTTATATGAGTATTTTCAAGTTTTTCTTATATCTGTTCGTCCACTACTTGATACCCAGATAGTGAAATGTTTCTTAGTTATCAAAATTGGCAACTGATGGTAATTATTAGTTATTAATTATAATATCATGAGCTATAATGTATTCTATAAGAAAAATGTTCACAGAAGAATCTGAAAAGTTTTTGGGCTTAAGAACTTATATTGTCCTCTTTTTCAGTAAATATCTTTCTGGGAACGGAATGTACAGTCTCAATGTTAAGTTATATTGCAAAATTAAGGTGCCTGCATCATGGAACTCCTATGGGTTTACTTTCAGCATATTAAGGCATCACAAATTTGCATCGCACAAGCAAGTTTTGTTTGAAAGTATTACTGAACAAAATCAAATGACCAAAAGATGATATTTTGTTTTGAGTAAAGATTATTCTTTTGACTTGAAGGTCAAGGACTCGATCCTTCAGTTTCCTGCTATCGTCATGGAGATGTTTGCTCTAGTGGTACTTGGTTCCAACTGTCTCAGGTGTACACAAGTGTATACATGTTGTGCTTTGGGTAATGGTCTGGTATTTATTCAGTCGCTATCCAAAAATATGTGGAAGATGTATTTCTGGAATATAAATCAAATATGCGCCTTGTGTATGTTAAATGCAAATTTTACAGTCAAATTTGATGTGCCAAATTGTTTTATTTAGTATGCAGTGTCTCATTGACAAATATACCTTTTACATAAAGGTAAGGTTGATGAAGCGTCTCTGAAATACCATTAACTGTTTGAAATAGCTAGTTCGATTTTCTGGGCTTAAGTTTTCTTTAATATTCCATTGTTTCAAAGAACTAATGGAAGGTTCTACAAATTATTGCATTTTCTGACCGCTTCTTTCCTTGTCTAATTTACATAATATAATTTAAATTGTTTTCAAGGTCATTAAAGTTTTTTGAATACCTTCATTAGAGTATTATGTATATTTGCCTGATATACCTTGTTAACCGTGATGCTATACAAAGGATTTCATTGTGTACATTTAGAACGGTGCTGAAAAATATGTCATCTTCTTAAGCCGATGCTATCAGAAGCTAATGATGATGATGACGTCATTGATGGAGGTTAGCTGATGCCTTGATGGAGATATATTATAAAGTCCAGTTGCATTCATACTGTATGCTGTATCGTGTGTATGTGTGTGAATGTATGAATGTAGCTTATGTCGATGTGTTGCTTGTTAAGTTGTTGCCTTCGTAAAACGAGCCAATCTTTGTTTGAGAGCTGTTTTCTTTGAAAATTTGTTGATTATAGTTGAAAGTATGTTAACTTTAAGTTACAGGTAATAAATTGAATTTTTAAAAGCTCAATCTCCTTGCAGATTATTGATGGTGATGTGAGGAATACGTCATCTGTATATATCGTTGAATCAATGCAATAACTTGATGTAAGCACTGTAGTCTGAGACAAGGCTACATGCTCCAACCATCTCTCTATAGTTGATGCTACTCAAAAATATACATTTTTAAGATTTAAATTGATTTTAAATATATATATGAAGTATGATGAAAATAATACATGTGTATATTTTAATATTTACCATTGATTTAGATCTCTGATTGGTTAACCCAATTCATGAATTCTTAAGTGATCAGTTCGGATAATATTTTCTCTTCCATATGCATTTAAGGCAAGGATTTGGATAGATCTCAACAGTCTTTATTTAGCATTTTATTTTATTTTGCTAATAAGTCATCTTACATCATATTCATGGTCATATCTTCTCGTCCATCATGCTCATACAATATTTATCTCATGTCATTTGTATATTTTGCTGCATGTACTTGCTAGAACCGCATTCTGTAGCCAGACATCTTGAGAAATGATTTTGATTGACTTTTGATAAAGCTAATATGAATGTTTTACTGATGCAATGTACATTTAATAATGATCCTTCTACAGTAAAACGAACATTGTTTCATCTCTGATGTATTAAAAAATAATTTATAGAAATTTACTCTTGAATTGATCCTCAAATCAGGGTATATTATTGACATTCAGCTGAAAGAGTTGCTAGTATCTGAAACTTTCCAATACTCGTTCATTTCATGATCGAAAACATATTTTCCAGTAGGATACCTATACATTTCTACTGCATTGCTAGAAAGTCCATCTACATTCAAATTAGACAGAGCATTTCCAAGATGTTTTCATTCTGGATATTTTATGCCAGACAGTAATTCTGTGGATATTCTAAGATACAGTACAATCCTTGTATATAGTGTCATCTTCATTGATAGGGTTCAGAAGTTTCAAAGCAGATCACACCTACTGGCTAAAGCTGATTAGGGACTAAAGTTTGGTGCACATGTTTAAGGACATAATAGGTCATTTAAGGACATATGTTTAAGGACATTATAGATCATTCAAGGACATAAATGTCATGAAATCCTGTATCTGTAAATTTTGTAACTTGAAAACAAGGAAGTTTTTGTTTATGACAATAAGTTCTGAAACCAATCATATGAAATCAGGTTTACTTAATGCTTTCATTTGATCTTGAGTGATGGAATTACACCTTATTCCTGTTCAAGACTCTGTCCCCAAATTACGAATGTTATCCATGTTGCTAGAGAAAGGAAAGGCTTAGTGGAATACATTACAGGTAGGAACGTCAAGTAGCCATGTGTCCGTAACACTTCAGCTTATTTTGAGTAAAAGGGTCAATGGGTCATTTCAACTTCTTCAAAATTAAAATTTTCAACATAAGTGACTAGTTCTCTTCGGCTATAGGTCATCAATAGGTTAAATGTCAATTTTTGACATTAAAAATATTATTGTCATCTTGTAATAACTTGTGTGCCTTTGCTTTACATCCTCTTCAGTACAAATATTTTAAACTTGTACATTTATTTGATTTTTTTTTAAATGCTTTGAATAAATAGCATTGGAACATGACTATGTTTTTCTGTCATTTTTATTTAGTGATCCAAGCCTCTGAGAAAATAAGCAAATCTACTTAAGACTGACCGACTGAGTTTGGTTTTATGCCGCTTTTAGCAATATTCCAGCAATATCACGGCGGGGGACACCAGAAATAAGCTTCACACATTGTAATCATGTGGGGATTCGAACCCGGGTCTTCGGCGTGACGAGCCAACGCTTTAACCACTAGGCTACCCCACCGCCCATCTACTTAAGAAGTGCTTTATGTTACAGTATGAACTGAGAATGTAATGTGGAGGTTTGAGACATTTAAGACTTTAAGTTGAGTTGAAGTAGAAAGAGAGTATAGTTTCACTCCACTTTTAGCAATATCGGGGGGAACACCAGAAATGGGCTTCACACATTGTACCCATGTGGGAAATTGAACCCAGGTCTTTGATGTGATGAGCGAATGGTTTAACCACAAGGGGACCCCATCGCCCTGAAATAGGGTGTGACGTGTTAAGAGACGTATGCTTGTATAGCAATAAGCTTGTACCCGTGTGTGTGTTGCTGCATGAACATGGCCCGACTAATGTGAGCGTTTAGTACTAGCCCACAGAGATGAGCCCACAGTTAAACATGGGTACCTATCTCGGTGTGCACTGTCCAAGATGAACACTCCTTGTCTTGTGCCCCTATTGCCAAGCAACAGGCAGAGAAACAAGTACCACCTTCTAACATTTCTTTGCATTGGGGATCAGGGTGCTGTTGTACAAAGCGATCTTAGCTCTAAGGTGACTGTAACTCCCATACCTTAACATAGACTTAAGGTAGTCTTTGCACTAAGGTGACCGTAACTCCCATACCTTAACATAGACTTAAGGTAGTCTTAGCGCTAAGGTGACCGTAACTCCCATACCTTAACATAGTCTTAAGGTAGTCTTAGCGCTAAGGTTGTTTTGAACAACGGCACCCAGACCACCAACCTGCTCTCTGGGCAGATGCTCTATCCACCAGTGAAGACCCAGGTTAGTTCAGTCTTCAGCATTCCTTGCTTTGTCAGACTCTAACTTGGCTGAGGCATGTCATTGTATCCCAGCTCTGCAGGATGCTGTTAATTACTGGATTGTCTGGCCCAGTTTCAGTTATTTAAAGACAGTGGCATCAAACAAACCTACCTCTGGACACTCAAGACTTCTCATCTCCATTAAAGATGGTCAACATTTTATGTTGTCATGTTATTGCCAGATCAATAGACATTGGGCAGTACGGTAGCCTAGCTAGTGGTCAGAGCATACACTTGTCATGCCAAAAGCCTGGGTTTGATTCCCCACATGGGTACAATGTATGAAGCACATTTCTGGTGCTCTCCACAGTGATGTTGCTGGAATATTGCTAAAAGTGGCATAAAACCATACTCATATCATATTTTTTAGGGTCCTGGTATCGTATATTACAGTAGATAAGCTGAATTTTGAAGACCAAAAAGGCTGCCTGTAGAAGGGGGTCGGGTTATCTATGGGTTACACTTTTGTCAAACTTTTTTCAAAGGGGGTAAGAAAACGACATTGTATCGCTTCACATGAACAAACAAGAGAAGACGACTTTGTCAGTAAAGACATCAGATTTGCAATTAAACATCACTAGACAAGATTATTTACCTTTTAAGTTGTAATTTGTTTTTGCTGGGCATTGTATTATTTGCAGGGATTAAGATTACTTTCTGTATTTGTCTTGTATATAGAGCCAGAAATAGCAATCAGCTGTTCACATGTTTCCCAATAACATAACGGGATGAATTCTGATTTTAAGAGTCAAGTTAGGGGGTCAGCTTATCTACGGTAATATATGGTAATAATTTGTAAATGTTCCCGAATACACTGTAGTGAAATAAGTTTGTCTCTGGTCTAAAGAAAATTATTTAACAGACATACTGGAGGTAAAAAAAATATTTTATGGTGCCTCCTTTATGATAACAAATTGTACGTTTTGGAGCAGTGAATGAAAAGATATTCTGTCTTCTGTCGCTTGACAACGACATTAGAATCTATGTCGAAACGTCACCTATACAGACTAAAGAAGTTGTATATCCATAAAAATAGTCCTCATTCTTCATCTACCCATCTTCTAGAATGCCAATCAAAGAAGTCATACGTCACCACTTGCTTGACAACGACATTAGAATCTATGTCGAAACGTCACCTATATAGAATAAAGAAGTTGTATATCCATAAAAATAGTCCTCATTCTTCATCTACCCAATTTCTAGAATGCCAATCAAAGAAGTTATTCTGTCTGAAATAAAAATTTCAGCTCCTCCAAAAAATATGAGATGCTTATTCCCAACACAGACACACAACATGATGAAGAAGAAGGAACTGGTTTTAATCCCCTTAATAAGAAACTGTACAGAAATGTCATGTTCACAATATTGTGATGTCCAACCCACAATACATCTGAGAAACAAGTAGAAATAAGCTATATATACGTCCTGTCTGTATCACCACTACTCTGTTCTACACAACATTGATCACTTATACAACAAACTACCAACACTGAGTATATTTCTTCTTCACAACATTACATTCACTTCAACCTTCAGAAACAATCTCTGGCTAGAAAACATACAAATTATGATCAATACTCATTTTCAGGTGCAAACTATATACATGTGTTTATGCATATGTAAAATATTGCATACAGTGACCAGTAGAATAGATACATATTTCCCTCAATATCTATGTATACTTATATATGTTGGAGTACATGGCTTATCAACATCAGCTATTGCACACACATGATACAATATCACAGGGTAATTAAATTGTTCAACGAATTGCTTGGCACAGCAAATATATATCAATACTTCTATATATGTTTTCTTTTTATTGACAACAGAAGTATAACAGAATTAAAAGTAAATTCTATCAGAAACAAAGCTATAACACAGCCCTAGTGCTATCATACAGGAGCATATTTGTCTAAAAATAAAAACTTTGTAAAACACAACCAGTTGATGAAGCTCATAACGTAAGTGGGGAATGGTATATGTATATATTTAGGCCATAGTACATTAACAGATTTTCATCCATAATTTCCATACGTTCGTAACGGAAATCACTATACAACTTATTATTGGAACTATACGAAGCAGGCTCCAACTTTCATTCAGCCCTCACTCCACAACGTTCATACTCCGTGAACTCACATAAAATTCAGTCCTTAAAAACATTTGTCTTTTCTGGCCCCCCCAAAAACATTTTGTCTCATGTAATGGCCTGTACAGGTGACAATATAGATAAACGTTATAGAAACCAACTTCTTTGAGTGAGATGTTTCGATACAGATTCATGTTTCGATACAGATTCTTACTTGACAACGGTACAAGAATCTGTCTTGAAACATCGCACTCACGAAATAAAGAAGTTGTTATCCATAAAGTTTGTCTGTTTCGTACTTCCCAGCTTCTAAAATGCCACTCAAAGAAGTCGTACAGGTGACGTTTTCACTCACGGCTGTGCCAGATACATGTCTTCAACTTGGTGAAAAGATTTTGAGTCCGGATCCATAAACAAGTTCTAAACAAATACAGGGTAATTCTCCTGTATGTGTATCAGTCGTACTAATCAAGTGAAATCTGTAATTACTCCACGTATATACATATATATCAACCACCCAATGCATCAGTATGTATACATAAGCATCCTTTACATGTTGTGTATATATACGTATCACAGCCGAAGCATGAGAAGAGATTGTACTGTATGAAATTCTTATATACACCATTGACATCAACATGTGCCTCAACACTGTACATGAAACAACGATGCTGATTTTATAATACATGCTCTAAAACCCAACATGAAAACTATATTGTACAGTCCCATCATTCTCAGTTGTAGAAGTCAAGTAGAATACATATGAGTAAGTGTCACAATACCATTCTATATGCACGATTTAGCAGACAACTTGGCCTGTTACTGTATACATACTGATGAACAAAAGAAAGTATACACATCATGCTTTGGAATCATTTACCTAAACAAAAACAACAACAACGTAAATAACCTAAAAAGTGATTTGATTGTGATTTACAAGTCAAAAATATTATGTACATGTTGCCAAAACACCATGTGTGTAGTTTCTTTTGTACTTCAGTTTACTACTCAAAAAAGTTCAATAACACCATTATTTCTCATATGAGTAGACATTTATCAGAGGCATGACAGATTAATCATAATCATATGAAAATATTTTGACCTTAAGAGTGGCCATGCATATGAACTCTAATCATATATGAGAAATCGAGTGTTCTTTATTTTCTTTATGAGTGGTATGAAGGATACGTTGCTGTCCTCTGCATCTACTAATTACAATTTGTGGGGCACCATTATCTAACATACAACAGATGATGCCAATTTGATTTATTGGTTAAGTAAAAAATATCAACAATGTTGTAAACATTAAATAGTTTTAAGAAAAGAAAATCAAACAGAAATTTCATTTTTAATATAATAACAACACGTCTTCAAAACAAACCATTGTCTGATTTGATGTGAAAATGTACATTCAGAAATAAGAAAATAAGTTTTCAGATCTAATAAAATTCTAAAAATAGCCATGACATATAACTTGTTTAATTAAAGCTTGAGGAAACAAATATTCTAAGTCTACATTCATACATCCACATCTTCCACAATAATCCACCAACCAAACTGTACATATTCTCCAGTTACATTGAATTCTGAGTAAAACTGTATTTCAGACTGCTAAGATCACTTTATGCATGTGGGCCCTGGTCCTATTCAGCAAGGTGCTGACAGACCACAGATCATGACAGTCTGATTCAAGGATTTTCACATGGGACACACACAATCCTTACACAAGTAAGGGACACAACTCTGCAAAGAATGTCAACCAAGGTAGTAGCAACACATTCCCATTTTGAACAAGGATAACTATATAAAGCAGATAAATTTGAGAAAATTTAGGAAATCGCCAGAATATTGACTTCTCAGAGAAAACAAACAATTATTTGCAGGCAGAGTATTAGCATATTTTGTAAAACTGGGATCAACCAGGGCATACTGGATCAAGATGTGCATGTCAAGACATATTTATTTAGTACACATTGTCATGGATCTCATCACTGAACTTGCATCTAGGCTACAAACCTGCTACCTGATAAAACTGAGATACAGTGCAAAACCTGCTGTCATATTCTGAGTGAAATCCTTTGTCATTCATTGCTTGATACATGCTTCACATACATACACACTAAGTATACATAATTCAGTTTATTCAAATCCATCTTTTTAAAATACTACAGGAGTCACAAAGGGAGACAACTTGCACCAAACAAAGATCGATCGTCACTAATAAATCCATTTCATTCATGTATCAAAATTTTGTACAGCAAAAATATCCATTTCATGACATTTTCCATTCATCCACACTGATATGCATATGTCTCCAGTTTCTCAGAATCGCGTCACCTCCACTTCTATAACAGCTGGTTCTCCATCTTCCTCTTGCCACGATCGTTTTGGAGATTCCTCAGGGAAATGTAGGGTTTTCATCATCATCAACAGATGTTTGAGGTGAAGGAGATGTCACCAAGTCCATATTCTCTTGTAGAGACACTGACCGTAACGTTGGGATTGTAACTTCAACATTCTCCGGCCAAGACAAATGCTGGCGCCGAAACAGTGAACGCTTTGCTCCAAACTGCCATGCCTTTCGTTTCGGTGAGATATAGTTGATATTTTCTTCACTCGGGCACTGAAAATAAAGTAATTTCAAAGATTTAGGAAAACCTGTCAACATATGTTCATGGCATCTTAAACTTTAATAAAGTATACATATCCAGTATTAGGTTGGTTGGTTGGTTGTTTAACGCCACACTCAGCAATATTCCAGCTATATGGCAGCAGTCTGGCAATAATCAAGTCTGGGTCAGACAATTTAGTGATCAACAGCATGAGCATCGATCTGCCCAAATGGGAACCGATGACATGTGTCCACCAAGTCAGTGAGCCTGACCTCCCAATCCCGTTAGATACCTGTTACAACAAGCATGGGTTACTGAAGATCAATTCTAGCCCGGACCTTCACGGGTCTCTCCTGAAGGTCCTGCTAAGATCCTGCTCTAAGGCTGTACTGAATGCTAAGCCCATGGATGTACAATAATTTTATCCTTTATGTAGGCAAGTATAGATAAGCAGATAGCACAATCTAAGGATGCCAGTACATTAGAGGGTTATTTATATTTTTAAAGAATTATCATTTAAACTATCAAGTATTACCTCAGAGACTTGTGCAAGTCTAGGATGAGGGATACTCACTATGTTTTTCAATGGTTTCTGCAGGCAGCTGATGTCGGTCTGCACAGCAGCATCCTTCATCTCCACCTTTATCTTAGGTCTCGGCATAATGATGATATCATTGAGAGCACTCTCGCTTGACGAGCATGGACGGGATATGAGTTTTTCTATGGAACCTGTGTACAATAGAAAAACATATTTGTTATAAAACTTTTAATGTACAACACCCTTTTCAGAATCACATGAATAGAAGCATCATCACTTTGATTACAGATTGAAATTACTTCACCATCTTGCATCAATACGGAGGCTTACTATCAATTGTCTGGTCGTGATCACACCACTCTATGCTAAAAATCAAAATTACAAAATTGAAATCAGAAAATATTTGTAATTTGAAATAAAATATGAAAAAAATACAAATTAGAGTATAATTTTGCAGAATGTCCTCTTGACCTTTCATAGACCTAGTAGAACTACAAAGACTGGGTGCAACACAAAAACTGTAACAGATGTATTCTACCAAATTATCTAAGTTCTATACATACAATCTACACACACAGAAGTTCATGCATACTGATACATTTATTCCACCCAGGCCAGATCAGTTTGCAAATAAACAAAACATTCAGCTCAGCGACCAGGTGGCCTAAATATGCTATGGCGCTTATTTACTGCACGTAAGGGAGGTAATCACTACATCCAAGTAGTATAAACCATGCTGTAGTGTAGAACTGGGAATGAATTGACACCAATATTGGTCATATTGTTTTATATATCCCATTTATGATTACATTGCCTTCAGGATTGGATGACATATAAAATGTGACAAACTCTTGAGGCAGATTCTTTTGAGATTCTTACCATGTCTGGATTCCTAGTTTGGTAAGTCAAGAACTGCCAAAAGTTGTGTACATCTTGTTTATCCAGAATGTGTTGCCAAGAGTGAGTTTTAACTGAGATGAATCAAACACAGCTTTATCTTGTGTGTGTATGTTTGACAGATCATGTAACAGAGGTTACAATGTGCTCAATATCGGCAGTAGGTATGTGCACAATTACACTTAGAATTAATGTAGGCCTGCGAAGTTGTTAACAGAATGATGTGTAAATGTTTTAGCAGGTGGTGGCATGATGGTCTCTGATCTCAATCTTAACATAAACATTGCTGCAGACCCTAGAGTGATGATTAGATAAGGTTTCTTTAAGAAAATATTATGAAGTTAATCGTAATATTGACTTAACTTATTTCTGCAATATATACACATATTGTGAGAGAAAGGACTAGGCACTGTTTCACAAAGTGCTTGTAGCACAATGACTATGTTAAAGTAGGGGAGATGCGATCATCGAAGCACTTTAATAACTTTGTAAATTTTACATGGCAAATACATAATGTCAAATCCGACATAGTCACATCATGATGTCTTAATTAGAAGCCATCCAACTTGTATGGGATTATACAAGATGGTGACTGGCCAATCAGGCTGCTAGACTGTTTGACAGGCTGACCAATCAAATTGGTGGATTAAGTAGACAAGAGCTGTACAAACTGGTGTGGCCTGTTGGAAGAGCATGTTGATGGTAGACAACAAACCTGAAGAGAGATTGCACTGAGGATTGCTGTAAGCGTGATTGAGAATGGCTTTCTGACGCATGTCCATTGGTTTTTTGGTGTGAGGTAGGTTGGGGGATACAGGCAGTAGGCTAGCCTCGGACAAACTCGGGACACGAACGCCAACCGTGGTGAACTCTATGTGATCTAAGGAACCGGGAGACGGGAGTGAGGATCATTTTGCATATTCATGAGATGATAATGAATCTGATCAGCATATTCAAATTAGTCACTTTAGATTGAAATGACATCCAAAGACCAAATATCAAATATGGTACAAAATTGCATACCTTGTCGTGAAACATTAATTCAAAATTAATTTGTTTTGCATTTATAGCTTTCACAGAATGTAAATATAATACTATTTCCAATGCTATTCTAATTTATTTTCAAAAAATGTTCTAGTGAACAAATTATTAGTAATTAATGTTCTGTTACATGAATTTTAGAAAGGGAAAAAAAATGGTTCAAAGATTCGGTCACTAGCAAAATTATAAAATATTTCCAGATGATAAAATATATCCGAAATGACTTTGATGAATGAGGTATGTGAAGGTACTAAACATCTACGTGGAAATGACTGCTTGAACGATCTATCACAAAGAACAGTTCTATGGGCAGCTAACACACAGCCATACACTGAGTCATAAAGGAAACAAATGTAGACTTTGACCAGAAGAAAAAAATTAATAAAATAAAATCTTTTTGCCATATTAACACTTCTCATAAGTTGATAGAATAGTTTTATTATCTAACATTAAGTGTGATTAATTTTCAACATAGCGATTGTGAAATATTCCAGGAAATTTTTTAAATGATTCTTTCATAGATTAAATTTTGTCAAATATACATTTAGAAAACAAAAAACATAAAAATTGCACTAAATATTGTATCTCTTATCATGAGTTTTATCTTACAATATTCAGTGTAAAGTATTCTAATGTCGGTCACAAAAACAAGTAGTAACTACACATCTACCAGTATACAAAGTTAGACCACATACCTGTGATGGTGTTCAACGGAGGGTTGTCTAAATCTACAGTATACATAGTTGTGTGGACAGCAGGATAATACTCCACATATTTCCAGTGTTTCTCAAGGGCGGGACCCCAGTCACTCTCAGGCTGACAAGCCTGTCTCACTCTCTGACAAAACAAAATAAACTGTTTACATAGTTTCCAAAGTGACCAGTCAAACAGATCTGAATATGGTTTCTAAGATGGTCTTGGACAGTCAGCTCACCTCAATCACCTTTAATTCCTTACATTCTGGGAAACATTAGCAGTACAAAAACCATTTTGAGAAAACATGTAAAATATGCCAACAATGGAAATGATACCATTCCAGTATATACATGGTGCCTGTCCGGAGGTTATTTTGTATATCATTCATAGTGGGATGTAACTCACCTCAATATACCTGCCTTGTCCAGAGGCTATCTTGTATATCATCCACAGTGGGATGTAACTCACCTCAATAAACCTGCCTTGTCCAGAGGCTATTTTGTATATCATCCACAGTGGGATGTAACACACTTCAATAAACCTGCCTTGTCCGGAGGCTATATGGTATATCATCCACAGTGGGATGTAACACACCTCAATAAACCTGCTTTGTCCGGAGGCTATCTTGTATATCATCCACAGTGGGATGTAACTCACCTCAATAAACCTGCCTTGTCCGGAGGCTATCTTGTATATCATCCACAGTGGGATGTAACTATCTTTGTATATCATCATCCACAGTGGGATGCAACTCACCTCAATAAACCTGCCTTGTCCGGAGGCTATCTTGTATATCATCCACAGTGGGATGTAACTCACCTCAATAAACCTGCCTTGTCCAGAGGCTATCTTGTATATCATCCACAGTGGGATGCAACAGTGGGATGCAACTCTCAATAAACCTGCCTTGTCCCACAGAGGCTATCTTGTATATCATCCACAGTGGGATGTAACTCACCTCAATAAACCTGCCTTGTCCAGAGGCTATCTTGTATATCATCCACAGTGGGATGCAACTCACCTCAATAAACCTGCCTTGTCCAGAGGCTATCTTGTATATCATCCACAGTGGGATGTAACTCACCTCAATAAACCTGCCTTGTCTTGTCGGAGGCTATCTTGTATATCATCCACAGTGGGATGTAATCTCACCTCAAATAAACCTGCCTTGTCCGGAGGCTATCTTGTATATCATCCACAGTGGGATGCAACTCACCTCAATAAACCTGCCTTGTCCAGAGGCTATCTTGTATATCATCCACAGTGGGATGTAACTCACCTCAATAAACCTGCCTTGTCCGGAGGCTATCTTGTATATCATCCACAGTGGGATGCAACTAACCTCAATAAACCTGCCTTGTCCAGAGGCTATCTTGTATATCATCCACAGTGGGATGTAAGTCTATCTTGTAACCACAATAAACCTGCCTTGTCCAGAGGCTATATTTTGTATATCATCCACAGTGGGATGCAACTCACCTAAATAAACCTGCCTTGTCCAGAGGCTATCTTGTATATCATCCACAGTGGGATGCAACTATAATAAACCTCATCCATCACAGTGGGATGCAACTGTCCAGAGGCTATCTTGTATATCATCTAACACAGTGGGATGCTAAATAAACCTGCCTTGTCCAGAGGCTATCTTGTATATCATCCACAGTGGGATGCAACTAACCTAAATAAACCTGTCCTTGTGAGGCTAACCTCAATAAACCTGCCTTGTCCATGTATATCATCCACAGTGGGATGCAACTAAACACAATAAACCTGCCTTGTCCAGAGGCTATCTTGTATATCATCCACAGTGGGATGCAACTAACCTAAATAAACCTGCCTTGTCCGGAGGCTATCTTGTATATCATCCACAGTGGGATGCAACTAACCTAAATAAACCTGCCTTGTCCGGAGGCTATCTTGTATATCATCCACAGTGGGATGCAACTAACCTAAATAAACCTACCTTGTCCGGAGGCTATCTTGTATATCATCCACAGTGGGATGCAACTCACCTCCATAAACCTGCCTTGTCCAGAGGCTATCTTGTATATCATCCACAGTGGGATGGGACAGAGACACACACAAATCAGGAGGAAGCCAAGAGCCTCTGCCCAGTCTGGGTACTTTCCTTCACTGAACTTGTCCTTGAGAGGTGTGTAACCCACCGAAGAGAAGATCAACACAAACTGAAAACAATGCCGAATAATATGACTGATATATAATATCCAATACAATTTCATGTCTTCATCTATTAAAGATTAAAAAGATGAAATCACAAAATAAGAATATAACTAGGAAGTGTTTTTACTCGTAAAAACAAATGTCTCCCCCTTCCCCAAATTCAACGTTGAGACTTCAACAGAAAAATATAATTGAAACAGAAAAAAATAATATTGAAAGAAAAGTTCAAACCCCCAAAAGCCACATCTACATAGCATGGAGGGGCAGTATAGCAAATTTGGTGAAGATGGGTCAATTAGTTTCAGAATTTTGCTCCGGAAACGAACTTTACCCTTCAAAAAGGCAAAGTCCAAATTGTTGCCATGAAAACAGAAAAAAACAAAATTGAACAAAAACTCAAACCGCCAAAGGGCACATCTACATGATATGGAGAGGCAGTATACCAAATTTGGTGAAGATTGTTCAAGTAGTTTTAGAGTTACGTTCCAGAAACAATGGGAACGCCAATGCCGACGGAAACTCAACCAAAAACAAATATCTATGTTATAACAGAATAGGTCGTGAACAGGCAAATCATTGTTATTTTAAGAGTCTGAGACAATAGACACAACCTTACACTTCTACTGCCAGCGGAGAGCCTGGACACAGACCTCTGACCCATCCAAGAGGATATTGGTAGTTTCATCAGTAAAAGTAACCACTCATTAGCCAGCAAAGGGGCATAAAAATTGTACTCTATGAAAAAATTCCCTTCACTTTCACTAGGTGAGGTGAAAGGTGTCTGACGTCGCATTCAAATATGTTCAACCAACATAGTAACATGCATGGACAGTCATGTGTTGACGCTTGTACTGGTCCAGATGAGTGCTGGTTTTATAGTGCCAGCCCACGGAGATATTGAGTATATTGATCATAAAATATTATCAATAATGTCATAGAAGAACTCACGACAATGATGACTGGGCAGACTCCATACCACATGCCCTGCCACCACCAGCCAACCTTTGACCCGATCATGTGACTGACGTCATTACAGAACTGCTTGACACCGTACACCCAGCCGATGGCGATGCACATGACGAGCCCGATGACGAGGTGGGGAAAGCCGGGCCAGGTACTCGTCCATCAGCTGCAGAATGTGAACACCACCCTGAAACACACCACATCATGGAACTGATTGGTAGATCCAAAATAATAATGTCATATTCTTCATCAAAACATGTTATATAACTCTTCTTCATAATGTGATAAACCCTAGAAGATCCGGTGTAACAGGCCAAACTTTCCCCCTGGCCAAACCTTCCCCAGGGAAACTATGGCCTGGGCCAGATTCTCCCCGGGGAAAGTTTAGACCGGGGGAAGAAATGGCCTGCTACACCGGGTTAGAATTGATCTTCAGTAACCCATGCTTGTCGTAAGAGGCGACTAACGTGATCAGGTGCACGTGGTCAGGCTCGCTCACTTGGTTGACACATGTCATTGTATCCCAATTGCGTAGATTGATGTTCATGCTGTTGATCACTGGATTGTCTGGTCTAGACTCGATTATTTACAGACCGGTGACATATAGCTGGGATATTGTGCAGCGTAAAACAACAATCACTCACTCACTCACTCATATGATACATATTTCGATCCTAACAGCACAATATATATTACTTAGAAAACAGTACCCTAGCAAACATGGAAAATGTGCACAAACAGAATATTTTTTTCAATATTAATGACTTTAACCAACACCTAAATCCTAATGATTTGAATTAAATATGATGGTACAAAGTGAAGAAACATGTCTGCTAATGTTCAGTTTTAGTAGGCAAGAGGCAAGTATGCATGGATATTTAGCAGACATGGTCAATACAAGTACGAAACGACTTTGGTTACTCATCATTGTTGGGGATGATTGTGAGGCTTAGATTCATTGATCTGAAGTGCCTTTGTACATAGAAATCTGCAACACACTGTAAATGATACTATGTTTGCAGCATGTCTAGGTTCAAATCTTGGATGGGACTCAACCTAACCAAAGTATTCGAATCAGTACTGTACTGAGAAAGTGTAATCCCAAATGTAACATATGTTGAAAGTCCAGGTGTGATAGGCAAAGGTTTTAACCCAAAGCTACCCATCACCAATGAGTCCATCATAAAGGTACTATTTTCCTGGTACTACTTCTGAAACTGTGTCAATACCTGTGTTGTTAATGGAAGCCCAAGTAGATAGGATGATGCACACAATATAGACAGGACAAACACTCGCTTCTTCTTTAGCTGCTCCAGACGCTCGTCAATAATGGCGGTGACAATCGTCTCCACTGATGTAAACAAGGTACTAATACCCATCAAAACCAACATCAAGAAAAACAAGATGGACCACAAAGGGGATGCTGGGAAATACAAGATGGCTGCTGGATATACGATGAATGTCAAACCTACATCTGAAACAGAAAAGTTTGACTGCATGATTTTACCAGATTAAAAGTGAACTCATGCATTTATTTTTGAATATGATGTTTATCAATAAAAAAATTATAAACTATAATAAAAATTCATAACTATATACTACTCACATTGGGCAATTGTCTTTCAACTTTAATTCCATCTATAGTGCATTTGGCTCAAAAGCAGACTGATGAATTGCAATCTAACTCGAAAACTAATAAACATATAATACTCAATTAAACGCTGATCATGATCAAACCATCAGGCCAACTTTGTGATTTGTGTGCAGAATTTATGTCCTAAAATTAAAAAAGTGGTTTAACAAACTATCACTAAAATATTGACACAGTTCACTATTTTGTAAGAGGGAGGAGTGCAGAGAAAGGGACAGCCAGGTGTGCGAGAAAGGATGGAGACGGCACAGCACAGGTTAATGAATCATTAATTTTGTTGGCACTTCTGCACGTGCTTCTCTAACACCTGGCTGTCCCTTTCTCTGCACTCCTCCCTCGTAATAAATAGTGAACTGTGTCAATATTTTAATGACAGTTTGTTAAACAACTTTTTTAATTTTAGGACATAAATTCTGCAAACAAATCACAGAGTTGGTCTGATGTTTTGATTATGATCAGTGTTTCATTGAGTATTTTATGTTTATTAGTTTTCAAGTTAGATTGCAATTCATCGGTCCGCTTTTGAGCCAAACGGACTATAAAACGTAATGTGTAAGGCAACAAACACATCATGGGAGACAACTCTGTAGACACTAACATGTAAATACATGTAACACAACTTCATAGAGTTGCTAAGAATATTCAACATGTAATGGCAAATATCACATAAACTTCCCTTTTATAAAATATGATACTCATTTTTACCTGATTTAATAACATTTTCTACGGATGTGTTCAATTCTTTTCCCAGCACGCCTATGACAGAAAATACAGCAAAACCAGCCATGACACTCATCAGGGTGTCTCCTAACACCACCAGAATCGTGTCCCTGAACAGAAGCAGAGGATCGGGAATTCATAAAACAATTCCAAACTATGACACTTAGGTAAGCAAATACGGGAATAAATGGTTATTTTGTTCAAAATTGTTGAAATTCCTATTTTCTTAAATTCAGAATTCTTTTAACATTGCATCTTAACATTACATTCAGTAGCATTACATTCAATAAGCCTCTTTCTCTTTACTGTCCCGACATCAGTGAGACATACAAGTTGACCTGATCAAGCCATCACACCAGATATATTTATAACATGATTGGGGAATATATGAAGTTATGTGTATATGTGGACATAAATGTTGCTGATTTGTCATGGCTGGTAAAACCAGCAGGAAGACATGGATCAAACGTTTACCAGCCATATTATTGTTGGGAAAATATATGACTCAAGAAAGGAAAAGGACAAAGAAAAAAAATAAGTGCAAAAAGACAAATTTTAAATTTTTTAATTAACAAATGCTCCCTCTGTTCATTATGAAACTACTTCAGCCTGAAAGGCTCCTCGCACCTGTATATGTTATTATGAAACTTGTTGTAGCTGGACAGGGTAGACAGACCTCCCCAGCAGGTAGATAGGGTGAAGAACACCTGGGTGGCAGCATCAGCCCACACAACAGGTTTGCCAAGCAACTCCCACCGCGGTGTCACGTAGTACTTGATGCCGTCCAGGTTGCCGTCCATCGTGATCCCTCGGATCAGCAACACCATGATGAAGATGTACGGTAGTGTCACAATGATGTATGATATCTGAAACAACCAAACATTGAAGTGTCACAATAAAACCATCTGAAACATCCAATGAGTTTTAAAAGAGAACAATACAGTACTGGCAAACAAGGATAAGTTGGACCGGCACAGAGAACGCGTTTACGAGAAGTAGGCGGTGTACGGCAATGAGCAAACCCATTCGGTTTGTGAAAGGTAGAACAGATGTAGGCTAGTGCACGTGCATTGCATGATGATGAAATTGATGAAATCGTAGCTGCAGGTGCTCATAAGACTCTCACGTGGTTGGTGTAGCAAGTCGGTAATATTTGGATATATAGATATATATACACCTCATATTAAAAGCAGATTCTGTAAAGGTATAAAACATAGTAACTTATGGGCCAACCATTAATGGTTGTGAAAGACTATAAATTCCCATTAATTTCTTAACGTAAAATGCAAACAAATGCACCTGCCGCTGTCGAACTCGGTGTTTGCTGAGACAGGCCACGCACTTCACCCATTGCACTACACTTGATCGCGGACAACCTGGGGCCCCTTCGCTAACAATGGCAAGCGCCAGTGGGTGGCACTTATACATGCTAATACGGGTCAGTTGTCAGGTCGGTGCTCAACTTAACCTTGTTTGCCAGTAGTATAGTATTTAGAAGTGAAACACACAAAGGTGAAAATTTATGGATTTCAACAAGACGATACTGGAGGATGGTTGAGGAAGACTTGTAGGAGGTCATTCCTCTTGCAGCTGACCAGTGTCACCAACTGGTTTGAAAGTTTGTGTAAACATGGGCGACAGCTACAACATCACATCAGTCCAAGAAGTGTGGGAATGTATTTGTGGCGAATGAACTGTGACCACACGTACACTGTGAAGTTGAGTATGTTAATGGATTGAATGCTGCAAGATGGTTAAGGAAGACTTTCGGGATGTCTTTCAAGTTACAGTCGGATCAAATAGCTTGGAATTTGGTGTAAACATGGCAGATATGGCATCACAGCATTCTAAGGATTGTGGACAATGTTCTGTTGGCCAATGAAGTGAGACCACGTGTACACTGTGAGGACATGTAAATGGACTGGATGACCAAGATGTTCAAAAGATGTGGTGTTTCAAAAGATGTGAAAAATATCATCAATACCAATCCAACATACAGGAAATTTACATCTACAAGGACTACATCATGCTCAAGGAATGGTAAAGGAGCTCCATCCAGTGTTGAAGACTGACCTTGCCAGAAGACTTGATGCCCTTCAGCAGACACATGAAGATGATGCCCCAGCAGAGGAGCAGACACAGAGCCAGCTGCCAGCGCACCTCCCCTAGGTTGTCCAGCCCCGGCGTCGACGCCAACACGGAACGACTGCAAGCAGATCAGAGTCAGTGACGCTCTCTCAATCTTATGTTACAAATGGACTTTGTTCTGGGAGGTATATGAGTGAAAATGGCAAATCTGTAAACTTGCCCAGCATGTAGGGTACAGAGGTTTGAACTGTAGTTGGTACAAGGGTACAAGATACAGAGGTTTGGTACTAAGGTACAGGATAGCGAGGTTTATACAGAAGTATAAGGCACAGAGGCTGGTACAAAGGTACACCTTACAGATGTTGCTACAAATGTTTCGGATACTGAGGTGAGGTGAGGTGAGGTGAGGTGAGGTGAGGTGAGGTGAGGTGAGTTGTAATGGGGTTAATGTCGCACTTAAGAATATTTCACTCATATGACAACGTGCATGTGTTTGTATGTGTGGCTGCTTGTAGTAGCCCAGACTAGCTGGTTTTATAGTGCTAGCTCACTGAGATACCATGCCACAGTTAAGCATGAATACCCCACTCAGACACATTACACTGACTCCAATCCACCAGTCCTTGTTATACCCAGTAATGCCAAGCACCAGGCAGGGACCAATAAGTACGATATTTTAACGTCTTTTGGTATGACACGGCCGGGGATTGAACCCGCGACCTTCTGCTCCCTGGGTGGATGCTATAACTCAAATTCAAGAATAATCTAAAAATGGAATAGAAAAAGGAACTCACTAAAAATATTCTTCACTAGGACTTGTTCTGTTGATGTATTGTTCCTCAGTGATAACATCCTCACCAAATATCTTACGTAACGTCCTAACACAAGATCCTATACGACTCTCGTTGAACTTGTTACAGTTCCGTAACACAGTGTAACATGAATCATTCTGGAAGGCAGGTAACTCCACATAGGACATATTCACAGAGGTACAGTTCGTCACATCAAATTTGTTCTCATGACAATCTGCAGAGAGAGAGAAAACACATCATTGTCTGATTGCTTTGACTGAAAGCAGTTCTTTGACACTCATAAGATTTGGATTAGCTTTAATAGCTGTCCTTGACCTCTTTTGAGTTCATGCGAATTTGATGTCTTTTCACATCACTATCAATGTTTTCATATTAATGAGATAATAATATGGTTTCAGGTCATTTATCAGCTGATTTCCTGAGTGATGTAATGTCAGCCTGACCTCAAATTTGGTCAGCCTGGTGTGAACTAATGATGATAAACAGACGTGTCTTACATATAGTGTTCCAGTGGTTCTTGCAGGATCGCCATGGCAACTCTGATGTCATGGATGTAAACAAGTAGTAGAAACCCCAGGCGTTGACCATGTTGTAGTATATGGACACAACACCGGAGACGATCACCATGGAGTATCCGATTCCTGGAACACAAGATCAATATCATCAAGCATGTATAGATGACAAATACAGTCACCATCAAGTGACACCAGAAACAAAAAGATTCAGGACAAAAGAATATACAATACCCATGGATTGAAACACGTGCAGAATGCATGTGTAATTGAAATACCTCAATATCCAATACTTACAATGGAATACAGAACACAAACTTACAATACCTGTGACTATGGATTGAACACAGATACCCTATACCTGTAATTTGTAAGTGATCACACGTGCTCAATACTGCCAATATACCAGTGGATTGAAAACAAGCTCCCAAAACCCGTATAAGAGGATTGAACACAAATACCAAAACTCATAAAACACGACATCAGACACATCACCATCAACTGATAATACCTGAAACAATAGATTCAGGGCAAAAGAATACAAGAACAAGTATTGTCACTAAGGTGACATAATCCCCCATCGCAAATTATCAAATCAAACTTATAAAGTAATGAAAGTTTAAGTTAAATGTCAACAAAAACATGACCAGTCAACCTCTCTTGATATCTTGCTCTTTAGGTGTTCAAAGACACACATATTTTCAAGACTGACTCTGACCTTGACATGAATGTCATAGTGTATGAAATATGCAAAAATAGTACTTGAAGGGAAGTCTTGAAAGTCTGAAGAAAATCCAGTGAACCGTTCTTGAAATATCTTGCTGACAATTCAGGTTAACATGCTGAAATCCTCAAAATGTCGTTGTGACCTTGAAAATTAAGTGAAGGTCACCAAAATCGACTGGGCCCTGTGCCTTCCCTGGATGAAGCTTGGTGTCAAATATGAAGAAACTCCAGTGAATGGTTCTTGAGGTATCTTGCTGACAAGCATAACCTGCAGGTTAATATGCTGAAATCTTCCAGTGAATGGTTCTTGAGGTATCTCGCTGACAAGCATAACCTGCAGGTTAATATGCTGAAATCTTCAAAGTGTCGCCATGACCTTGAAAATTATGTGAAGGTCACCAAAATCGACTGTGCCCTGCGCCTTCCCTAGATAAAGTTTTGTATTGAATATGAAGCAAATCCAGAGAACGGTTCTTGAGATAGCTTAACATGCAGGTAAAACGTTAATGTCCCCTTGTGACCTTGAAATGAAGGTCAAGGTCACCAAACCTGACTTGGACCTTTCTTATACTGTGATGAACCTAGGTACCAAATATGAAAAGAATCTAGAGAACGGTTCTTAAGATATTATACGGACGGACGGACGGACGGACGGAGCCTAATACTATATCACCCGCGTCGCGCTAAACGTGCGGCGGGGGATAAAAATTGAACCAAATACCCAATACCTGTGTAGCAGATGGCTGAAACAACTACCCAGTACCTAAAACATGGGACTGATCACAAAATGCATACCCAATATCTGTAACAGAGGAGTGAGCACAAAGTAATACCCAATACCTGTAGCAGAGGAATGGCCACAAAGGAATACCCAATACCTGTAGCAGATCGAGGAGTGAGCACAAAGTAATACCAATACCTGTAGCAGAGGAGTGAGCACAAAGGAATACCCAATACCTGTAGCAGAGGAGTGAGCACAAAGTAATACCCAATACCTGTAGCAGAGGAGTGAGCACAAAGTAATACCCAATACCTGTAGCAGAGGAGTGAGCACAAAGGAATACCCAATACCTGTAGCAGAGGAGTGAGCACAAAGTAATACCCAATACCTGTAGCAGAGGAGTGAGCACAAAGGAATACCCAATACCTGTAGCAGAGGAGTGAGCACAAAGGAATACCCAATACCTGTAGCAGAGGAAGGAGTGAGCACAAAGTAATACCCAATACCTGTAGCAAAAGAGTGAGCACAAAGTAATGCCCAATACCTGTAGCAGAGGAGTGAGAACAAAGGAATGCCCAATACCTGTAGCAGAGGAGTAGCACAAAGTGAAAACAAAGGAATGCCACAAATGAATACCAAATACCTGTAGCAGAGGAGTGAGAACAAAGGAATACCCAATACCTGTAGCAGAGGAGTGAGCACAAAGTAATACCCAATACCTGTAGCAGAGGAGTGAGAACAAAGGAATACCCAATACCTGTAGCAGAGGAATGAGCACAAAGGTATACCCAATACCTGTACCAGAGGGAATAGAAACAATACAAATACAAAGGATTCAGTACAAAAAGAAACACAATTCCTGTGACAAAGAGTTAAGTAGCATACAGCACATTTTGTATGTAAATAGATACGTGAAAATATAAGGCATCCATCCACATCAGCCTAATGCAGTGGAAGAGACTAAGTAGTGTGTTAATACTAGCCTCCAACAGTACGACATAACCCTGATGGATACACCTTGAAAACTAAGTGTACAATGATTAAACACACCCACACAGTGTGCACAGAGGCGTCTGAACTTCACCTGTTCCTTGTTATACTGTCTTCATCTCACCCACATCTTCCAGTTCACCAGGACTAGAGAGTTCACTGGGTTTTGAAAACATTAACAAAACATTTGGCTATGCCAAGTCATTTAAAGAAAAAAAAGTTAGTGCAAGTCAATCAAAATGTAACCAGGTGCTTTTCTCAACTGAAAATAGTCCATTCCCTTATTTTTGTATTTTTCTTTACATGAAAAACTGTTTTGTTAAGAATTTACATAAGTTTTTGCATTATTTGACATAAGGACAACACACTGTTAGTCTATTTATTGAAAAAACTTTCGGGTTTGAAAACTTAAGTCTTTTAAATAGGAAAAAGATAAGTGACAGCATTGCAAAAAACAGCATTTAATTAGTATTTATGTTCTATTTTCTAAAACTTCAAGTTTGGCAGTTTCATAAACATAAAGCATGTATGGTAGTGCAGCCTAAAATAAGACCTATACTTCTATCTACAAAAATAGTTTGAAACTTTTGTCTTCAAACAAAATCATCATCTCCCAAGTTTAATTATTTTCTTACATAAGAAAAACACCTAACTTTCATTTGTGCAGAGACTTTGCTCACTGAAGTGGAAATGTTTACGCACAGTTTTCATTTCATGTCATTAAAACAAAGCATTTAGCCTGGAAGAGCTCTTTCATGTTTTAAATGCTTACATTAGAATATTTATCACACAGGATGATTTGAGTGTAAGATATATTTGCCTTGGCACCAACTCAGACTGCACGTGTGTTGTGAGAAATCAAGCAGATAGGATATTTTCTTCAACAACAGCTTCTTTTCCAGTTGATCATTTCTCCACATAAATATACCAACTAGAGAATAATAAGCCTGTGATTATAACATGGTGTTCCCAGGGGTGGAAATAACCCATTGCCCGATGTCCGAGTCCAGTGTTTTTTTCTGTCAGGCAAGCAAATTTGTATATCACCCAATACCGGTGTCCAGTTGACTTTCTAATGTTAATTATGTTGTTTATTTAAGAAATCAACAAGAAGACGGCTGGTATAGTGGGAAACTTATCGGGGCAAGTGATTTTACATGTGAAACTGTACCGGAGTACACTAGCAAGTTTAAAGTTATTTCCACCCTATGTTCTGAACTAGTACTCTGGTTATAAAATCCATCAATAATTGATTCATGTCTATCATGGATGGAAACAGAAAAATCTAACAATAATTTACTTATGAGATAACTTATTCTTACAAAGTTATAGTTGTGTGAGAGCATATGGTTTTAAGTTTCTGCAGTTCAAGGCAATATTCAAACAACAGCTGAGGTCTCCTGGAATGGTTTCACAATACAGTGAGTGAGTGAGTTGGGTTTTACGCCGCTTTTAGCAATATTCCAGCAATATCACGGCGGGGGACACCAGAAATGGGCTTCACACATTGTACCCATGTAGGGAATCGAACCCGGGACTTCGGCGTGACGAGCGAACGCCTTAGACACTAGGCTACCCCACCGCACCTTCACAATACAGACAGCAGGCTAATCCATCCCAGAGATATCAAACATAATTCTATTATCTAGCAATACTAACTAACTTTAATAATAATATAAATGCTAATTTTTGCGCTTCGGATCCAACTCAATGCTGTTCTCTGGCATTACATTATTACCCTGATGGAATTGTACTTTCAAAGCTGCTACTAAGCCCCGTATAGGTCCTTACATCCGCTTCTCAGGTACCCATTTTGAACAGCTGGGTGGACTGAGTGCAATGTGGACAAAGTGCTTTGCCCAGGGACACAACACAGTATGAGACCCAAATCACAAATTTTGGTGTCTCCATCGGGATTCGAACCTGGGCCTTTGGTGTGAGAGGCCAGCATGCTAACCACTACACCACTGTGCTCCACTTTGCAGTTCTGAATACATCCATGGAAAGAAACATAGAAACTTATCTACAGGGCGAGATTACTGTGACGTAACTTTGAATTGTAATAACATTATAAAGTTGGGCAACAGTATAATTGTATGAAATTTTATTTGTTTGAAAATGCCCCTTTTGTCTTTTTCATCTCAATCTCTAACGCAAAGTACTATGATAAAGTCACCTCACCTTCCCTTGAGCACATGATATGAACTGTATTGAAAACTCAGCTATAAACACTGGCAAGCTGCATTAATAAACAGGTAAGAATTACCCCGCGTCTTTTTCTAAGAAAGGAAAATTACCCTACAGTATTACTTTCAAGTTCTCTCATGAACAATAACGATATATATATTTGTGTCATTTAAATATTCAAATACCCCTAATCATTTCATTGTGTGTGTTTTTGAATAAATCATTCTCAATGATAACATATGATTCTCACCTTCAAATATCACCTTCCCATTCTTGTTGACTGATGAAAATGGATATTTCTCAAGTCAGATTCATTTGTTTTTTGTTATACAGATTATCATACTCATGTTAAAGTAATGGTAAAAAAACTCTGATAATAAATGACTAATTTGAGAAAGTAATTGCCAGTAGTTTTGTATTAGCTTCATTCCAGAATAACCAGAACTCCTCACAGTGTTGTCTGCCTCTTGGCATGTTGACACCAAGAGATACACTTGATCTCACCAAAAAACATAGTTCATGAATAATCTTTGAAAATCAATTTTTCAAACTTCACCACACACATAGCAACGTAGGTGTGTTAAAATTTCTCATTTTACAGAAGAACTGGATTCTGACATTGATTGGATCGATGTTTTTTCTTGTTCTGTTTACTATTTGATGTTCTAAGAAGCCAGTCCTGCTTCTCCTATCCCACCAGGTGCAGAAGTAGAGCCTCTTGAGCACATCCTCCCTGACTATGATGTCATCTCCTTGTAACTGAAGTCTTCCGTCTTGTCAAGAACATTTCTCAACTCCTAATCAAACACACATGGTCTTGACAACCTTGGCTAAAAGCAGTACCTACCCATTTTGACACATCAGTATTTAACAATCCTTTTTATGTTCGTTAAAATTATATCAAATCCATTCCTTGAATGTTTTTCTTAGTCATCAATTCAGTGAACATCAACACGGAGAAACATGCTCACATATCAGGCCAATATGTTATCTTTTTTAAGCATTTGCCCATCAATACATGACACGTTTTTATGGATAACAACTTCTTTTTATTCTTTACACAACATTTCAGATCTAAGAAGTAGCTAAAAACTTGTCATGTATTCATGTTCGTCCAACTTCTAAATGACTTTCAAGACCTATATCTGCCCATCCCTAAACAAATAAAGTGAGTGAGTTTAGCTTTACTCCACGTTTAGCAATATTCCAGCAATATCACAGCAGGGGACTACACAACAAAAAGATTTCTACAATTTCTATAATCATAACAAATCTTTAAGAGAAGTGTGCATGTGCATGAAATACTATCATATGTGGATGACATCATGTGTTTGTGAATAGGTAAACAAACCCTGCCCTATGGCGGCACTCATCAAAAACACATGCAAAGGCATGCCAACTGTTCACCTGTAAAACATGGGAACATACAGGGCAAATCAGAATATAGACTAATGCTTAGTCTCTGAATATATATAATTTTGATTGTAACAAATAAACCCATTTAAATTGAAAAGGAGCCGCAGGGAGACCAGAGATTCAGATCCTGAGGAAATCTAGACATGCTTCATTCAGGGCTTTAGCATTGCAGGGAGGACTAGGCTATAGGGCAAATATGGTTCAGGGATTGTAAGACAGACTAATCAGAATACAGAATTGCATCAGACATAATATTTGCCGCTGATATGTCAAATTCTGAAATGTCCTCCACATGTCTATCATAAATATTTTTGCAAGTTTTTCTGACGCCTTGAACACTGTAATGCAGATCAACCAACTTTTGAGACAGAGTCATTAAAGTTGTGAAATGTGGGCACTGACGGCTGGTGCTGCTCAAATACAGCCCACATAGTCAAGTTAATTGCTATTGTCTGTAATAGACAACTCAACTCCAAGTAATAATCTGCTTTTTATACTGACTGACTGACTGAGTTTGGTTTTACGCCGCTTTTAGCAATATTCCAGCAACATCACGGCGGGGGACACCAGAATTTGGCTTCACAAATTGTACCCATGTGGGGATTCGAACCCGGGTCTTCGGCGTGACGAGCCAATGCTTTAACCACTGGGCTACCCCACCACCCTGCTTTTTATAAAAGGAATTATGAAAAACCAAAATAGGTTTATGTTCTGACTTAATGGACAAGCTACCTACACACAAATTATGATGAGCACGATTTTTTGGGGGGGGATATATATATATTTCTAGGAGTTAAGCATCAAACCAAGTTATTTTGGGCCTCCTGTCCCTATGCAAACTGGCATGGAACATTCCAGGATTAAAAGTAATTTAACTGTATTTCATATTTCTAGGAATACATTTCCATTAACCACATGCCTACACCTGTATATTGAATATTCAAGTACTCTCAGCCTCATGATCAAAACCACCATGCCCCAAGAATGAAATACAGTCCCACCATATAACAGTGACATAGTTACCTGAAACAATTAATGACACAACAGCCCAAGGAATGCCTTGTCTAGGTGGGGTAAGATTAGATTTTAGGAGACTTGTGTGACATGTTTATGTGTAGCGAGGTTATTCTGGGTGACTCAAGTACATCCAAGGGAGTGTGGACATTATTCATGTCAGGAGAGGGCGAGGCATGTGTGGGAGACAGTGCCTGTCCACACATCTAATCCGGCTTTGTATTGCCTCTCCAACTCCATGTCTTGTTTTATAGATTTTTCCTGACTGCCATGATGCACACCTTATCAAGAAAATGTTTTCAGCGCAAACGAAAAGAATTAAATACAAAGAAAAAAATGAAGACACTTAGAATTCTGGAAATTATTCTAAAAATGCATGTTATTACGACAACACTCAAGGATATACTACTCAAACACGTTTTTGAGGCCCTGTCATGGTATGCCTGAACCGTGAAGATCCGGATTAGATTTGGTCTTCAGCAACCCATGCTTGTCGTAAGAAGCGACAAACTGGATCGGGTGGTCAGGCTCGCTAACTTGGTTGACACATGTTATTGTATCCCATTTGCTTGGATCGATGCTCATGCTATTGATCACTGGATTGTCTGGCCTAGACTCAATTATTTACAGATCGTCGCCATGTAGCAGGAATATTGCTGAGTGCGGTGTAAACACCCACACAAACACCGCCTCTGTTGTGTAGTGGTTAGAGCGTCCGACCAGAGAGCGGAAGGTCGCCGGTTCGATCCCCGACTGCGTCATACCACGGCATTAATGGGTACAACAAGGACTGGTCAGCTCGGAGTCAGTATAATTTGTCTGAGTGGGGTATTCATGCTTCACTGCAGCATGGTATCTCAGTGGGCTAGCACTATAAAACCAGCTTAGGTCTGGGCTAGTACAAGCACATACACATACACACACATGCACGTCGTCATATGAGCAAAATATTCTCAAGCACGACGTTAAACCCAATTTCACCTCACCTCACCTAGTATGTCTATATGTTATGACATTTCCTTAATTTCTTTTAATAAGTATATATTCCTCCACTGAAATTAAATGATATATAAGGATTTGTAATCAGCAGCTGTATCTGCAAGACAGTTTGAATACAGACAAGGGTCATACATCGAACAATATGCTGTAGCTCACTTTAATGATGGGCTACTTTCTATACACGTTCTATAGAATGTTGCACTGTGGCCAATTCACTCATTTCACGCCAAATTTCAGAATGGGATCTGATGAAATATCTGAGCAATGTCGAATACACATGCCCTGGCAAATATAGGACTGGAGAATACTATTATCTATAAATGATATTTCCAATAATATTACGTTGCCCATGTGTCGAATTGAACTGAGGCTATCAGCATGATAGGTGAGGTGAAATTGGGTTTAACATCATGCTTGAGAATATTTCGCTCATATGACGACGTGCATGCGTGTGTATGTGTATGTGTGGCTGCTTGTACTAGCCCAGACTTAAGCTGGTTTTATAGTGCTAGCTCACTGAGATACCATGCCACAGTGAAGCATGAATACCCCACTCAGACACATTATACTGACTCCGGGCCGACCAGTCCTTGTTGTACCCATTAATGCCGAGCGCCAGGCAGGGACCAACAAGTACCATATTTTAACGTATTTTGGTATGACGCGGTCGGGGATCGAACCCGCGTCCTTCCGCTCTCCCGGGCGGACGCTCTAACCACTACACCACAGAGGCGGTCATCAGCATGATAAGTAAATGCTTTAACCAAGCACTAGGCTACACAACCAGTGGAGTTCAATGGGGTCATAAAGACACTTACAGCACATTGTATACAGTGTCATACAGGGCTTGACTTCAGAAAATGAAAAGTACTTTCCGTGCAACCATAGGTAATAACCTTGTTACACCAGACAAAAGCTGGTTGCACCTGCTGCTAGAGTTATATACAGTGCTTGAGTATAGGTATTGATGAATTAGAACAGCATTTAACTAAATCATTCTGGGTCAGATCATTTTATCATATTTCATAAAATTGCATCACATGAACAGCAACAATGTGTAGTCATCAGTCACTGTTCAAAGTCTGTTCCTCAAAGTTAAGCTTTTCAGCCGAAGTCTGTGTTCTTTGAACAGCAAAATATCAACATGCTTTGGGTGCAAGGTGGCATCAATATGATGGCTGAAATTTGCAGTTTCAGTTTGCAAGGTGTAAATCCTTCAGTTGAGCCCTGTTATGTCATCACGACCTTGTTGTTTCAGAGGAAGATAATGCTGAAAAACCAACAGCCTTACCTTTAAACAGTGGCACTGCTCTCCAGATGGTGATAGGTCCAAGACTGGCATACTGCCCAAAGGCCAGCTCCATGTACACCAAGGGGATGCCACAGAACACCAGCATTATCAGATAGGGGATGAAGAACGCACCTAGAATAGTGAACAGTATCAATGAGTTGGGTTTACCCTGGTCGGGGTGAGTGAAGTGTGGTGACATTAACTTGCCTTTTAGCAAATACACAGCAATAACATGGTAGGGACAAATGATGTTAGCATGTCATAAGGAAAGCAGTGTATTTTTTGGGTTCCACTGATTATAAACTAGCATAGGACTTCTATCAGGACTATGATGTGACCAGAGAACAGTTGTGGAGCTATCTCTGGAATTCAGTAACTTCAGGGATACTAGGGAACCAATGTAGAATTGTCCTTTGACTTTGGTCAGTACAGGTGTGTAAGGGAATAGCTGTTGTAGCATCTGTAGACTTCATACAGGTATGTCAGGGAATCATTGTGGAACTACCCTAGGACTTTTGTCACTGACTGACTGACTGACTGAGTTTAGTTTTCGCCGCTTTTAGCAATATTCCAGCAATATCATGGCGGGGGACACCAGAAATGGGCTTAACACATTGTGCCCATGTGGGGAATCGAACCCGGGTCTTCAGCGTGATTTTGTCACTACAGGTGTGTCAACGAAACATTGTGGAACTACCCTAGGACTTTTGTCATTACAGGTGTGTCAAGGAAACATTGTCGAACTACCCTAGGACTTTTGTCATTACAGGTATGTCAGGGAATCATTGTGGAACTACCCTAGGACTTTTGTCACTACAGGTGTGTCAAGGATACATTGTCAAACTACCCTAGGACTTTTGTCATTACAGGTATGTCAGGGAATCATTGTGGAACTACCCTAGGACTTTTGTCATTACAGGTGTGCCAAGGAGTCATTGTTGAACTACCCTAGGACTTTTGTCACTACAGGTGTGTCAAGGAAACATTGTGCAACTACCCTAGGATTTTTATCATTACAGGTGTGTTAAGGAGTCATTGTGGAACTACCCTAGGACTTTAGTCATTACAGGTATGTCAGGGAGTCAATGTGGAACTACCTTAGGACTTCCCTCACTACAGATGTGTCAGGGAAATATTTTGGAACTAACGAAGGACTTCCGTCAGTACAGGTGTGCCAGTGAATAGTTGTTGTAGTATCTGTAGACTTCCATCCATGCAGATATGTCAAGGAATCAATATGAACTACTTTATGACTGACTTCAATCACTACAGGTGTGACAGGGAATCACCCCGGAATACTTTAGGGATCTGTCAATTCAGGGGCATCAGCTAATCACTGTGGAACTGTAATAGGACTTCAGTCAAAATGGGTCACCTTAAATCAGTACATACAGGAAGGCAGACATTTAATATGTTTCCAAAAATCAATAGAATCTACCACCCCCAGATAAGACGTCAATGCAATACATTTTCGTGGGTTCATCCACGTCATCAATGTTGGGGCGTCTTGATCGCAGAATGTATATTCCTGTACCCGGTACTTTCAGACTGCTGTAATGAGACCTTAATTTCTACTCCTTTTCATCACCGTTTGCCCTTTCTGTCTTGGGTTCTGCTAATGACCTCTGTTCAGGTTACAGTACACCACCACCTTTCATGATGGAGGCTTGATCCAGCCTGTGCCACAGGGAAACTGTCCTTTCACCAAATTACCAGGGAGAGCATGTAGTTAAGGGACACATGAGCTTATTAATGGAAAATGAGAGAGAGTGACAGGTCTACTCTCGTAAAATTGTCTTACCTAATCTTAAAAAAGTTGTTCCAACTTTGGTATTTCTGTAAATTATTTGTTCAGCATGGAGGATGTTCTTGTAATTGAATTATTAGGGTGCTTGCTCTGAGGTGAATGGAATGAGTGAGTAACAAGGGTTTGATACTGCTGTAAATGTCAGATGGATTGAGAGTGAGTGAATGACGGAGGGAGTTGGGGTTTATGCACCAAAATGAACAGGATGTTTTCTGAAAGAATTCTATGTAGGGTGTGAATTCTTTTTACAATGGTGAGGTGATGGTCAGGTCAGGTCAGGTCAGGCATGTGTCTTCCTGTACGTATCTGGATTGACATCAACTTAATAGGGCTAGCCAAATCAGACAGCTTGTTTTCCCCCTTTTAAGCAGAAAACCAGATCAGGTAACAAGAAGTACATATACCATCTTGTAATGGTCTCTTGGTATGACTTCAACTCTCATGGCAGTCAGTTAATCTACTAGACCCCTCATATAGGAAATGGCTTTGAAATGATTAAGCATCAACATATGTTTACAAATTAGTGAAAGAATTAGTTTGAGCTCTCTTATCAACATTTACAAAAGCTGTAAAAGTCAATACTTAAGCGAAATGAACCTGCACATTTATAGTTTGGTAAACCAAAGTTCATCATTGGGGCTATTCTCAAAAACTCTGCTTCCTGGAAGCCAAGAGACACAACTATCTTTATCTTACCTCACACGTAAATGTCGCTTTCTGATTGGCTGAGCGCTCTTCCATTATTTTCAATGTACCCTGCTTACAAGCGAGTAACATTTCAATGTACCCCGCTGTCAATGGGAACTCATTTGGTACTTCATGGTAGTAATTCTTTATCTTGAATAACATTGAATCACGTATGATGTACGGAAATTACCGATGTTTTGCGAATGCAAATCGATGGAAGGGAGATAACTCTAAATCTGTTTTTCTTATCAGCAAAATCTAGCGATGGCTACAAAAGGATTTGTACCCATGCTTCAAACAATTCAAAATTAACGTTAAGGTGTTCGGTAAGATAAATACGTTGTTCACTGGTCCCTCGGGCCCATGTGTTGATGTACCCTCATGACCAGTGAACAACTTATAGTATCACAAGCACCTTAAACCAATTAGCTAAGAGAGCCACCCATGACAGCATGATTGAACATCATTATTACAACAAGACTACAGTATGTAAATAATCAAGTCTGTACCAGACACTGAAAACACCACCACTGCTGAAACCATCACAATGTCAAACACCATTGGCTGACAATGGGCCGCAAGCAGGTAATGCACCAAGTCTGACCATCCAATCCCCTAAAGAGAGTTCTTAAAACAATAGCCTAGTCTCCCCTTGAATCCAAAAACATTTTCCCAATGAATGTTAAATGGTATTGGGTGCTTAACTTTAACATGGTACAGCAAACATTTACACGTACTACTCAAGGAAATTTAGGATCATCTGATGTTTTCATAGTACTAATTTAATCTGTTAATCCTGACATAGTAATACTTACCACCGCCATTCCTGTAGACAAGGTAGGGGAACCTCCAGACATTTCCCAGTCCAACAATGTATCCCAGACAGGACAGGACAAACTCAAACCTCCCGCTCCAGTTGCCCCGGACCTTGTTTTCCTCCTCGCTGGACTCATCATCAGAGCTGGAGATTGTCATCAGGTCTGAGAGATACCCAGGGCCACTCAGCTCTGATGTGGAATCTCGACGTTGACGCTGCAAAAATAAAATGATCCCTCATAACAAAGATGAACACTTATATAAAACTGTCATCAGATGTGACAGGTATACAGGTCTGCACAATTCTGATGTCAAATTTTGATGTTGAAGCTGAAAAATAAAATGATTGCCGTAAGAAAGCTGAACACAAATATAAAATTGTCATTAGATCTGACAGGCATACCATGCTGCTCAGTCCTGATGTCAAATCTTGATGCTGAAGCTACAAATTCACTGATCTCCTGTAAAATCTGATCATCAGATCACAGAACTATTCATCTCTAATGTAGAATCTTGATGTTGATGCAGAAAATACAATGATAACCTGAACAAATCTGATCTTGTACACAAAATGTTCTCAAATCTCAGAGGTACCACAAGCTATAAACTCTGAGTTGACCTCTCTACAAGAGCTGCATGCTTCCATCAGACCATCATCAGAAGCAGATATTGTCATTAAATCCATTTGAATATGATACTTAAGGATATTATCCTTAAGAAAACTTGAACCTTTCCATTAATATGCTGCACACTGTAATTAAACACAGCCATTTATGACCCACTCAGATCCAGCAAACAGCCTTGACCCAGAAAACACATTTTCAGAACGCTGAATTAAACTTCCAAAAACAGATCCGCAAACGACCATGCAATGTGAAACCCACTCCAACACATGAAGCCTACTCAACACAGCTGTTCACTTTCGATTGCCAACAATAATGTTCTACCCCCAGGAAGGTTGATGTTTCTCCAAGGGACCTGCAATCTGTCACCCGAAGTGGACCCAAATCTCTACACACAAAATGACAATGTCCTATTGAATTGCTCCTGCCAACCACATTGGCTCCAATGTCATCTTAAACATGTCAATATAGCGTCTAAAAATATCCTGTTCCCTGCAGTGTTGGAGATTGTCTGAGATGTGAGAGGTGTATTTAAATCGGCATGTTGTGTCGTGATGCCGGGGCTAGACATGTACACCTGGACAGTGTCACTGATTCGGATAATTAGGTTTGTTAGGCAGGTAATACTGTTATGTTCATCAACAGTGGATGGAAGGTACCATGCCATGTAGACTGTCAGTAAGATATGTTTTGGAGTCAGTGAGATCTAAATGAGAGACATATGAAGTCCTTTAGTGAGATATTGTGTCCTTGAGTGATAGAGTGAGATCTCAAGGCACTCAGTGAAATCTCAAGTCCTTTGGAGACCTACTGTGTCCTTGAGTGATAGAGTGAGATCTCAAGGCACTCAGTGAGATCTTAAGTCCTTTGGAGAAATACTGTGTCCTTGAGAGATAGAGTGAGATCTCACGACACTCATTGAGATCTTAAGTTCCTGGTTGAGTAAGTGGAGATTTTGGAGACATTAGGAGAATATGTGTGACATCTCACAGGCCTTAGTATCATGTGTCCTTGAGTGAGTAAGTGAGGGTGATTTCAAAATTTTCAGTGAAATTGCATTCTTTGTATGATCAAATGAGATGTCAAATATCCAGCTGATTAGGTAGAATCTCAAGTCCTCAGTGAGTTATAATGTGTTTGCGTTATCAAGTGAGATCTCAAGACACTCAACGAGATATTTAGTGAGATATTGTGTCCTTGAGTGAATAAGTGAGTCTGATTTCAAAATACTGAGTGAAATTGCATTCCATTTTGGATCAAATCAGATGTAAAATATCTAGGTCATTAAGTAGATTCTCAAGTCTTCCGTGAATTATAATTTCATTGAGTTATTAAGTGAGATCCCAAGACACTCAGTTAGATATCATATCTTTGAGTGATTGAGTTCGAAAACTTTTAGTGAGATGTTATGACCCAGTGAAGTTCTTCAAAGGCATTTAGAAGTTGGAGAAACATGAATACATGACACGTTTTATAGATAACAAGTTCCTTTTATTCTTTATAAGACGTTTCAAAGTTACTTCAAGAGAAGAGGCAAGAATTACTGTGAAACACTGAGCAAATGAGATCTTATGACCTTGAAGTCACTGAATGAGACAAATCTCAAGTTTCTGAGAGAGATCTAAAGACAATTAGCTCAGTACTGGCCATCAATGGTCTGACCTTAAAGCAGGTAAGGTTTGGAATCCCAGAAAACTGAAGACATAACTTTGCCACCTGATGGAAGCGACTTTACCTTCTTCTGAGGAGACGTGAGTCCATATTCATCAACTCGAAACCAAGACAGGTTAATTTTATAGTTCCCATTTGCCTGATTGTGAATGATGCTGTACATCACAAAATATTCATCACTGTGCATCCTTGTTTCTAATATAATGCAAACGAATGCATCTCATATAATAATATGGCTGTTCTGATCAAGAAAACTGTGTTGTATGGACTCCTCGTAGGGTACGTTTCTTTATCATCCAAAACTGTGTTCCAGGAGATATTGCTTGTGCGAGATCATACGATATCTCCTAGGAGATATCATGTTGACAGTAGATTTTGTACAATGCCCTGACAATGCTATGATGTCATGAACTTGATGACGTCACAATGCTATGACATCGCTGCACTGCAAGTCTAATGGCAGTACTGTGTTCAGTGATGTACATGTTTTATTGAAAACTAATGATGATTGATTTTGGATGATAAATAGAATCGGCAAGCCTCGGATATTTGTAACTTTATCAACTTGTGGTGATATATTTGATATCAAAAGGATGAATCCTTCACTGTTCAATCCAGTACAGACATTTAATGACAGCGAGATAGCCAACTTTGTTCATATTTAACAGAGACTACCTCGTCCCTTTAATGCCTGCAGGAATAGGCTGCCTGATTATATGTTTGATTTAAATGCAGCCTTGAAGAATGAAAAGTATATATATCCTTAGTAGGCTCTGAAGTTTTCAGCCATTACTAGTAGCATCCTGGTGTCATTATGCAGGCAAATAACATCTGAGCCACCAGCCAGTCTACATATCAGCTGATAATTGCACTTATATAGTCAGCTTCATATTCATCCGATTCTATTTGGAGATAGTTTGTGCGAGGATCAGGTCATGGTGTGCATGTAATCTTGTTAGAAGTATATGCTTAGTGTCCCTTGTGTAATCATTAAAACTGGTCATTTAAAACATGGCACTTCCCCTTGGTGCTACCAGGTCTTGTCACAGACACATCCCGGTACGCATGCACGCACATGCACACACACAGACACACGCATGCACAGACACACACGCAGACTCACATGCATGCATGCAGAGACATGCATGGAGGCACACATGCACAGAGATCCACACAGATGCATGTTCGCACACAAACACACTCACGCACGCACACAAGACACAAACGGACAGAAACACACAGGGTATTAGAACACGAGTATATTTGATCTGTATAAGTGCACACACTTTACCAGACAATATCATAACAAACACATGACCAGGCATAATGATTTATTTGAATTGGCTAGGCAACATATCTGAGACGCCAAATACACTCAGCTTAGAGGCAGATTAAGCTTCATAATCTTAGCCATTTTGTTCCCAGCTCTAGACATTGTAATTACTACCGTATGAGAAACTGCGACTCTGGCCGTGTGTTTTAACCCTAATTGGTTGTCAGGAATATATATTACTCTGTATTGTTAGCAGTGGTGTGGAAATAACTATCCATACATTTTTGGAGTCAAGTGTAATCAGGAATCTTCTAGAACAGCGCAGATTAAACCAGCACGATATAGAACTTTCTGGAACTGTATTTCGACAATATAAGTCAGCAAGTGCATCTCATACCATCCAAACCAGAAGATCATATTTTCACCTGGGATGTCCAAACTAGACGTATTGTGGAAGCTTTATCACTGTGGCAGCTAGGTGAATGTTAATATCACCTACTTTGTTACTATTACCTTGTATTTAATACTTTCTAACTGTACTACCACTGAATTCTGTATTGCCATTCTATTGCATGTGGGGCGGTGGGGTAACCTAGTGGTTAAAGTGTTTGCTCGTCACGCTGAAGGCCCGGGTTTGATTCCCCACATTGGTACAATGTGTGAAGCCCATTTCTGGTGTTCACCGGTATGATATTGCTGGAATATTGCTAAAAGCGGAGTAAAACTATATTCACTCACTCACTCTATTGTGTGTTGTCATTGTCAATATTTTACAGTCATTTGTATTGGTTTGTAAATCTGATTCATTTTATATTTCAATTGTTAATCGCAAAAGATTGTGAATTGGGCGCGGTGGGCGAGCTGGCTAAGGCGCCAGGCTAGTGATCCGGCGAGGTTGAGGTGTCAGGATTGAGCCCACCTGTGACCGGGTGTAAAAACCTTGGAGTCAACGTTGTGTGCAGACTGTTTCAGTGTTGTCACAACCCCTAGTGTACAGTACACAACCCTGTGCACTTAAAAGAACCCACGAATCCATTGGTATATGACCAGATGGTGGCCACATGAATACGTGCAAACACCTAGTTGCAGGTACAGCAACGTGCAGTGAACTTGGACAAAGTACTGTGACTCTGTGTCCCAGTCCACCCAGCTGTGAATGGGTACCTCGTTAGGATGAGAAAGCCACAATAACTCGGTGTGCCTAGTGGCTGCAAAAGTTGTATACTCCCCAGGGAGTTGAGATTGATAACACGATGTGATTGACATCCAATGATCGAGGGAAAAAAAGCACCTTGAGCAAGCACTAGTTGCCTGGATATGTGCGCTATATAAATATTGTATAATAATAATAATTGTTAATTGCTATGTCTTGTGCACCTGTCCCTTTTTTGACAATAATCCTTCTGATCTTAAGTAACAGCTGGCATATAAACTACTCACCTAACAGACTCTGCAGCCTCAACTCTGTCAGAGGAGCACCATAACTTGCGACACACTGACGGCAGTTATTAGGAGAAAATATTTCCTGATAGATGGTGCCATCTGCAAACCCACACCTTAATTATCTTCATTTGCGACTGGTGACGTAAGAATATATACTTATATACTGTTCTTTTAGTTAATAAACCCATCAATAGCTGCGTATCAAC